GTGTGGTGGTACACGCCTTTAATCCCAGCACTCAGAAGGCAGAGGCAGGTGGATCTCTGTGAGTTTGAGGCCAGCCTGATCTACATAGTCAGCTGGGGCTACAAGGAGACCCTGAGGGAGACCTGTCTCAAATAAATAAATAAATAAATAAATTAAATATAAATAAATAAATGGGCCCCAAGGTGTGGACCAAACACTAACATATGGCCATGACTTCATCTAATCTGCCACCCAGAGGACAGGGGGAGCCATGGATCTGCCCTGCCAGCTAGCTCCAGGCAGTGGCGACCATCCCAGTCATGGTGGTCCCAATGGTGGTGTCCACCCCATGCAGCAGGCCTGGAAGCTGCGGAATGGGGAAAAGGTTTGCTCAAAGGCCCCTGAGGGAGGCAGCAGAGGAGGCAGGGAGAGGAAGAGAGGAGGGAAAGGAGGGGTGTCCATGCACAGAGCTGACTAGCTCTTAAGGACACGGACTGCAATGGGGCTGCAGCTAAGTGGGAACCCCTGATGCCTCCCAGGATCTGCAGCTCCCAGCCTAGGCTCAGCGCACCAGCCTGCTGCTGCCCCCCGGAGGACACTGTGCGGAACTGCAACCCCAATTCCCAGTATTTCAGGCCCAGGGTTCCAGTCCTTAGATGTGAGCACAGGGGAGCCCCCAGAGTGCAGGAAGTGCCTACTCGGCCTGGAGCTTCCCATGACCCCCTACTCTGTCTTCTCCCCTTTTCTGACCCCAGGAAAGGGACAGAGCTGGATCTGCATCCCAGCAGAGACCACAGCCTTCAGGCTCTGCCTAGAGAGCAGCAGAGACCACAGCCTTCAGGCTCTGCCTAGAGAGCAGCTGACAGCAGATGACCCGAAAAGGTCCTAGTGATCCCATTGCCCCTGGCCGGACTGCGGCAGCTGCACACTCAGGGCTGGGGACAGGGTACCTACAGTGGTATCATGAATGTAAACAGGTATGTATGTGTCTGGACACAGGTGGAAAGAGGAGCCACAGGGCCCAGGGTTGACCAGAGAAGCCAGACCACTCCTACCAAACCACCCATACGGACATCAACCCATTAGATCAGCTCTCTGGAGGTGTCCCTGCAGCCGAGTCAGAGACAGCCATCCCCCTGAATCCCCAAGTAGTACATAAGTAAGCCTGATGTCCACCTGGTCACCTCTGGGGGCAGCAGCTGGGACCTTGGGGGAACCAAGAATTAAAACCGGGCTGAGGGATTTACTCAGGGGAGCACAGGAGCAGCCATACTGAGGCCCAGTTCTCTTCACCCCCCCCTTGGGGGGGGTGTTGAGACCGGGAGGTGATTGGAAGGGCTCCCTGAGAAGTGCCCAAACTTCTTGGAGCCAGACTGGTTTCCACACTGAGCCCAGCATTCAGGTCTCTGTCCCCTGAACTCTGTGCCCCTTTCCCATCTTGAAGGCTCTGCCTATAAGACCTATCAAGAAGGACCCAAATCTAGCAGACTCCAGAGCAGTCATGGAGGACTAAGTCCACTTTCATTTCCAGGTCCAGAATTCACCAGAGTGACAAATAACAGTGAGGGGCCAAAGCAAGGTCACTGCATCTGAGCCTTCCTTAACACCCTGGCCCAGTGCCCAACCACAGTGCTATGAACATATGGACCATTTGCCATTGGGGACCCCAAACAAGACCACCCTTGTGAGTGGGTGCTGACAGGAAGCCCTGGGGGATGGGCCTCAAGGAAACCAAGGACATACACCTGGCCAGACCAGGTTCCCACTCAAAAACGGACTTCCCCAAACTGTAGATAAGAGTTTGACCATAGGGGACTAGAGAGATGGCTCAGTGGTTAAGAGCACTGGCAGCTCTTGCAGAGTACCGGGGTTTAATTCACAGTACCCACGTGGCAGCTAACAAAAATCTGTAATTCCAGTTCCAGGGGATTTGACACCCTCTTCTGACCTTCATGGGCATTGCATGACACAGGTGCACTTACATGCATGCAGGCAATATACTCATACACATAAAATAGAAATAATAAATAGCAGGCATGGTAGCACAGGCCTTTAATCCCAGCACTTGGGAGGCTGAGGCAGGCAGATCTCAGTGAGTTCCAGGTCAGGCTGGTCTACCCAGCAAGTTTGAGGCCAGCTGGGGCTAGGGAGATCCTGTCCAAAAAAAACCAAAAAAAAAAAAAAAAGATAAATAAATAAAATAAAAAAATAATAAATTGAAAAAAAGAAAGAGTTTGCCTGCAGCTGCCTGGGGTAGACAGTTGCCAGAACAGGCCCCTCAATGGGGTGGCAGCAGAAGTCAGTCCCGAGAGAGTGTTCAGACACCTAAGTAACCACTCACAGCTCAGCTAGTCCAGCTAGGGAGAGCAGAGCAGCACCACCCACCCTGGCTCTGGGCTGAGAGGCTCCAAGGCTGCTTCAAGGAGGCAGGGAGGGCTGTGCCAACACAAACAGGCTGTGGTGTCCTGCTTCCTGCTGTGGCTTCAGCCCCTGCAGGGCCCCCAGTGCCTGCCCTAGACCCCTACCCTGGATAGAAGCATCGAAAATTCCTGGCCCTGGTGAGCTCCCACCCCCCACTGAGAGGCAGGGATTGAGAGCCTAATGGGAGCCCATGGAGGCTGAAGACACATCTAGCCTCCCACCACTTCAGGGACAGAGCCAGGGATGGGGGTACGGCTCCCGGGGTGAAGCCACCAAAAGGATCCCAGTCTTTCCTCCTGGGCCTTCTGACCACCCCAAGCTCAGAATCTTCCCTCCACTTCCTGGCCCTGTCCCCTCAGGTATTTCTCTCCCACCCCCAGCATGCTGGGCACCCCCAGGCAGCTAGGATGGCTCAGATATGGGCCCCAAGTAGCCCAGCCCCAATATGCCCAAAGGGTCCCTGGGTTAGAATCACTTCCGTCTCAGTCAGAGGAGGCTACTCAGCACGCACTGGATGTATTAGTGTGTGTGTAACAGCTACAGCCTGGAGTTGAGTGTGCACAGTGAGGTGTAGGAGTACGCATGTCCGCATTCACATGCCAAATGCTGCAGCATAACCTAGGGGTAAAAGGCACCACATGAACAAGCCAGAGAGCACAAGGCCAGGGTTCCTAGGGGTTGCCATCGTTGCCACCCCCACCACAGCCCATGGCCAGCATTATGGTGGGAGAATTGGGACCCTCTCCATGAAGGCTTCTGATGCCACCAGAGCTTTACAGATGGAGAATCTAAGGCTGTGATCCAAGTCCAGGGGACAAGGTCAGCTGAATCCCTGCCCAGTGCTCCACCCCACTGCCCAGCACCCTTCTGTGGCTGGCTGTTTCCAGGGCAACACCCATGGAAGGGAGGGACTGGGCTGTTAAATCTTCAATCACGGGTTTCCCCTTGTCCCTTGCCCTGAAGTGACCCCTCTTCTGGCAGGAACTGTGGCAAGTAGGTTAGAAACTGCATGTGCGCACATCTCCCTTGCTGTGCCCTCCACCTCTTTTTCATAAATCCAGTACCCCTGGCACTATCACTAGCCTTCCTCAGGAGGGGCAGTCAGTCCCCATCACAGTATCTGACCTCCACATGGAGACCCCACACTAATTAGGGAAAGGTAGGGGAGGGGGGAATCCTGAGAGGCTGGTCAGGGCTCTGGACAAAACTAACTCAGCACTCAGCTACCTCCTACTCCCCACACTCCTGAAAGGAGCAAAGGCTGAGGAGGGAGTGAACGGGCCTGAGCTGTTAGACTCCAGGGAGCTAGAGCAGGACCTGGGAGAGGAGAGAGTGTGGCCACTCCCCCAAAGGCACTGGAAAGCTAGTGGGCTTGTGCACACAAATGCCTGTCCCCTGTCCCCACTCCTCTGCTGCCAGTTAGTGTGTATGTACACACACACACACACACACACACACACACACACACACACCCCACGGAATTCCAGGAATGTCAACTTGGCACAGGCTTCACTCCCCAGTTCTCCCTAAGTAAACAAGTCTTCCAGGGGCAGGGGCAGGACCAGGACCTATCTGGGCCTCTCCTCCAAGAAGCCTGGCCCCCACCCCATCCCTAGGACCCACTCTACAGATAATCCCCCATCGCACTCGTTTGCCTCTCTCACCTCTGGCCATCCGAAGTCTGGGAAGCTGAGCCTGGGTCTGGCCTCAGGCCACAGTAACTCACAGGCCCCTGCTGCCCCTCAGGCCCGGGCAGGATGTTAGGGGGAGGGGACAGGACCGGGAAGTAGCCTGGCTCGTGGCTCCACACGTGGCTTCATGGGGGATGGCAAATGCTGTGGGGAGACTGTCCAGGATGACAGCAGTGAGGGGGAAGGGCACAAGTGGGCAGTGGCTTTGGGCCAGCCCCACTCAAGACCCCAGAGACCCTTCTTGGCCTCCCCTTTAAGACCAGAATCTAGCGTTTGCCCCCAGGGGCATTTGGCTGATGTTTGCCCCCAGAGGCTTCGCTCCAACTAGACCCTATGCTCTTTGGAGCCTCCCCAACTTCTTACAGCAGGCTGCCCCATCCCTCCCCAGGGTAGCCCGGGCGCAGCAAGAAGGTGTGGCGGCCAGGGTTACCCCACCAGCGCCCCGTCCCCCCTGACGTCCCCAGGTCATCGCCCGTGGCCTCCAGCGGTCCCGCAGGCACAGCCTCCAAAGAAGGGGGTAAAGGATCGGCTCACAGGGTGGTATCCACCACGCCTCCCAGACCCGCCTGCTCCTCCCAGATGTCAGCGTGTACCTTCAGGTCCAGCTCGCCTTCGGGCGCTGGGAGCCCTCCCCACCTGGGAAGGGGGCGGGCGCCGTGCGCACCGGGCCGCCGTCGGGACCCGCGTCCTGGACACGGCGGAAGTGCATGTCCCAAACCCCGCGGCCGGGCGTCCGCGCACTGCGGGGAAAGGCTCCAGGACCGGGGTTCGGGCTCCGCGGGGAAGGGCTCCAGGACGGGCCCCTCGACGGCCGCACACCCCCAGGCAGCCCGCACCCACGGCCCCGCCGTCACCACTTGTTGACGCTTCTCGCCCCGAGTTGCGCTTCCCGGGTTCGAGTCCCCCTTCCCGCCGCAGTCGGGACCCTCTCCCGCCACCCCGCTGTACCTGCGGGCGCTGCCTACCTCGGCTCTGCAGCTATCAATCAAGGCTCCACGAGAAACGCGAACCGGCGCAACCGGAGACCTTTCGGCCGCGCTGGGACGCCGTAGCCCGGGAGGTACCACCGTGGCGGGCGGGGGCGCCCCGGTACTGCCGCCGGCGCGTGATCCCCAGGAGCCCCGCGTGGGTGCGCGCGGAGAGCACCGTCCCGGCGGGGTCCTCACGCGGGCGGGTTCGGGGCGGAGCGCGAGGAGGGGTGGGGCGGGGCGGGGGGCGGAGCTCGGACCCCGCGCCGTGGGCGCTCCCAGGGCGGGGCTTAAAGAGCTGCTGCGGGAGTCCGCGCGCCAGACGCCGCCATGATCATCCCGGTCCGCTGCTTCACGTGCGGCAAGATCGTCGGCAACAAGTGGGAAGCCTACCTGGGGCTGCTGCAGGCCGAGTACACCGAGGGGTGAGGGGCCGGGCCTGCGGGGAAGGGTGCAGGCCTGGGACGGAGCCGGGGCGCGGGGGGAACGTCTGCTGTGGAGCAGGGCGGGGGCCCGGAAGGCCCGGCTAAGGTCGAGTAGTCGAGGAGGGGTGGGAGAGTTGTAGCGGGGCCCGAGCTGGGGTCCTGGAGCAAAGGGTCCGAGGGGCTAGGGTGGGCGGGCTGCGGCGAGGGCGAGCTGAGAAGGCAGGACTGAGGTCCTGAACCAAAAGGGGCTCGGGTCGGGGTGCTGTGGTGTGGTGGAGGGGGTCGAGGAGCAAAACACCGGGGTGGGAGAGGCGGGAAGACTGTGCTGAGATTGTGGAGTAGTGAGTAGGGAGGTCAGGTCTGGGACGACTCATGAGCCAGGATTTCTAGGCCTCAAGACTGGGGTGTCCTGGGCTGGGGAATATGTGGACTGCTTGAGGGTGGAGGATCAGTGGGGGTCCGCAGACGTTGTAGGGCTGGGCTAAGGTGGAGGATCTCCAGGGAGACTGGGAAGCACACACGTAGGACTTTATTTTTGTATTTATTATTTATTTTGGGGGGGGTGTCTTTTTGCAGCAAAGCACACACGTAGGACTTTATTTTTGTATTTATTATTTATTTTGGGGGGGGGTGTCTTTTTGCAGCCCCAGCTGGCCTGGAACTCACTATGTAGATCAGGCTGGCCCTGAACTCAGACAGAGCTCTGCCTGCCTATGTCTCCTCCCAAGTGCTGGGATTAAAGGCATTGCTGGGATTAAAGGACCCCCCCCCCAAGGACTTTAAAGCCTTGGGTCTGAGAAGAGGTGGGACGGTGGGCATCAAGCCACTGTGGCATCTTGGGAACGTCTGAGCACCCTCCCTCCAGCCACCATGTCAACACCAAGGGGTTCACTTTAAATACTTGGGCAGGAGTCTCTCAAGCTGACTAGGTCCAGAAGTCAAGCCTAATTGGTTTGGACTATTGTGGCGGCACATGCCTTTAATCCCAGTACTACTCCGGAGGCAGAAGCAGGTGGATCTCTGTGAGTCTGTCTACACAGGGAGTTCCAGGCCAGCCAGGGATCTACAGTAAGGCCCTGTCTACAAACACACACACATACACAACACCTAATTGATTTGGGAAGAGGAAGAAACCACTCCCTGTAGAAGCAAACTCTCCTGAACACGGGGCCTGGTAATCAGCACCTTGATGTGGTGTTGGGTCTCCTGAGCATCCCCAAATAACTTTGGAAGTGAGAAAAACTTCCCCAGCCCTGGGTACAAGAGCCAACAGCAGGGATGTACAGAAGGTGGGTGTGAAGGAAGGATAAAGGTTGGAAGGTGGGCATGTACATGGGATAGGTGTAACCTGGGGTCCCAGGTCTTACAGATGGGGAAGAGCTCACCTGGGTGTATATTTTAGAAATTTCCAGGCCATCACCCTGGGATCCTGCTGCTGGTAGGTCTAACCGGTATGCAGCAGTACCAAGCAGCCAGTTAGAGGTGGCTCCAGGCCTTTGCAGATCGTAGAAACCACAGCAGCCTCAGTGCGCTCTCCTCCACGCAGGGATGCCCTGGATGCTCTGGGACTGAAGCGCTATTGCTGTCGCCGCATGCTGCTAGCACATGTGGACCTGATTGAAAAGCTGCTCAACTATGCGCCCCTGGAGAAGTGACTCCTGGAGCCCACCCTCCTGTTCTGCTGGCCATGGGCAGTCTTGTGGCATGCTGAGTTCAAGCTGAGGTATCCAGGAGGCCAGTGCAGTGCCTGGCTGCAGACCTGTGGCTGAGTTGTCCCACCCTGGAAGGAACTGTCTAGTAAAGATCTTTGCAGAACCAAGAGGCCTGGCTTTGTACATCCATATCTGTGCTCTGCCCAGGCCACCTGGCCTAGCCCCCACCCCACCTGTCCTGGAGTCTGATCATGTAGTGGGGAGCCCTTGTTTGTTTCCCTAATCCCTGCCCTCCACCAGGATTTCAGAGGCAAGAGCTCAGCCCAACCCTGTACTCTTTTAGACAGCTTGTGGAAGATAGACCACTTAGTTTGATGGCCTTGACCAGTCTGATCCACAAGGTAGCCCCACAATAAGGCCCTTCTTCCTGCCAGTGTTTTCAGGGTGGATGTGACTACCACCTCATACACAGGGCAGGGCCCAAGCCTAGGGACGATGTTTGATTGGGATGCTGAGAGTGTTGGGGGCTGGGGGAAGCTATGCTATTTTCCAGAATCCAAACAAGATTTTCTGGGCTGAAGAACAGTCAGCTATAAGCCCATCTGCTGCCCAAGCCTGAGGGTCTTGCTCCCAGAACCCTCCTAAGCTCAGGAGCAGGGCATCCCCACCCCTTAACCCAGTTCCTAGAGGAGGAGCCTAGCACCTAGGTGTTTAAGTCCCCAGGGACCCTTTTGAGTCTGTCTATCCCCTTGAGGTTTTAAAGTGTGGTGAGGCTTTGCCTTGGGCTGAGTCTAGGGGACCCTAGTGCCCTACCCCTTCAGCTGGCACCAGAGTGCGGTACTGTAGGGGACAGCAAAGCAGCTCTTTGGGTAACTTCTCAGGATTGCTGAGGCCTCAGCAATGCTAAGCCTGAGGAGCAGGAGCTGGGTCAGCCCCAAAAGCCAAGGGGCATGCCACCACCAGGTTGCAGCTCCACACTTGTCAGGTCCTGGTGCCTCTCCTGCCCTCCCACCCTAGCATGGCCTACAGACTTTATGAACAGAAGCAGCCTCTCACCTAGCTAGACCCAGTCCCCACTTCATATGCCCTGCCCTCTAGTGGCTAGAAAAGTCTATGGGAACTATTGGAGGTCCCAAACCACACTGAGCCTCAGCCAGCTACCAGAGGTGAGCCTATTTGTCCCTGCCATTGGGCATCCTGGTCCTTGACTTCTGTGAGTGGTCCAGCTATTCTAGACTATCAGCAAGCTGACCCAACTTTTTACATATTTATTGAGCACCTGTTACATGGCAGGAACAGTTGTGGGCACTGGATACAGCAGTAGATAAAAATGGTTATCCCTACACAGGGATGTTCCAACAGTGTACAGGAACATGTGTATAGTGTTAACAGTAGTAAGAAGAGGCTGGGCTGAGGTTATTAGGAGCAAGAGAGGCCTGTGGGGAGGGGACAAGGTGTGGGTTGCAGGATGGGGCAACCCCAGTTGGTAGGAGCAAGTAGTTCCAATGGTACCCAGCAGCAGGTATAGACGGCACCCATCTCTATAGGACAGTCCTTGTACCAGCCCTACCCAGAAAGGCCCCTCCCACCTGTCTAGCCACTGTGCAGGTAGTGCAGCCAGGATCTTCCCCAACTTGCTACAACCCCAAGGGGGTAGCCTGTGGGCAAGAGGCACTTTTGTCAAAATCTAAACCCTACTCTACCAGCAAGGCCTGACCCAACACAGGCACATGAACCCCCTCTTCCCTGTGACCCTGCCTCAGGACTCTGGTGTGCAGTGAAAGGCACTTCAAGCTACCCCGGGGGAGGTCACCAGGGGTCAGTGATGGCAGGGGCAGGGCATGAGGATGGCTACCTCCCTGGCAGTCAGCAGTCTAACTCAGTAATACTCAGTAGTCAGGTGGAGCACAGTAGGAGCAGGCAGCCAGGCACAGTGGTCAGTAGTGCTCCAGTTTGAGGCTTCTGTATAAGCAGCAGGTGAAGATCATGCCAAAGACCTGTGTGGGGTCAAGTGGCCATGAGCAGGGCTGTGAGCCACCAGCCATCCCAGTGATCCCACTGAGTCATCCCCGTGTGCCTGTACCTGCACGCACGCAATGCCGATGCCCACGGCCCCAATGACCCGCAAATGCTCCTGGATGAAGGTTTCCAGCTTGGTGATGCAGCCACCCTGATGGGGTACAGGGTATTCAGTGGACACTGCCAGCTCCCCAAACCCAGCCACCCAGTCTAGCTCCCCTCTGGGCGCCCACCTACCTCCACCTTGTAGATGTTAGAGGCGTGGTCCCGTCTACCACAGCCAGGCACCACAGTCTTGCAGCAGCTGTCAGGGACCACACGGTTGTTCGCCTCACCAGAGCGGATCCACTCACTGTCTTTCCAGTCCTTCGAGTTGTTGCTACCACAGCAGTGGAACTACAAGAGGTACCTGGATGAACCCTGCAGCCTGCCAGCACGCACCACCATGCTACAGTGAGACGCGATAGGGGTCACACAGACACCCCTCCCAAGACACCCACCTCTTGCTGCAGCTTGTCTACAGCACTGGTCACACTCTCCTGGCCTGGCTGGTGGTATCTCTTGATCATGGTGTCCTTCAGATTCTCCTTGAGCTCTGTGTTCAGCTGGGGTTGGGATCAAAGTCTGAGACCTCCAAGGTGGGGCTTGGAGAGTCCAGGATGCAAGAAAGGGCCCAGGGTGGAAGGGCAGAGCTGTGCTCAGTGTGACAGGCAGGGCTGGGAGAGTCGCCAGAGGAGCCGGTACAGCAAGACCAGACTGGAGTGACAGACACCCAACCCCAGTGAATGTGTCTCCAAATACCATGACTAGCTGCCGCCCCCATGAGCCCCAAGTGAGCCCTGGGGTCCACCCTCCTATGTGCACACCCATCCTGGGCATGTCCCACGATCTGTCCAGGCCCTTACCTGCTGGTAATAGACATAGGCCAGGATGCCAGCAATGATCTCCAGCAGGAAGATGAGGAGGAGCAAGATGAAGTACTGAGGGGCAGGGACCCAGTGAGGGGGGCTCCCAGTGCCAAAGCACCACAAAGCCCAGCCCCCACCCAAGGGGCCAAGCCGGGGGCTCCAAGCAGCAAGGAGGGAAGGGCTGCCTGGCTCCCTGGCCTCACAGGAAGTTGGTATACTCCCTCAGCTGCACCAGCTGAGGGATACTCCAGTGAGCACAAGAGGGACAGCCTGCAGTGATTCACCCAAATAAGGCCCCAGAGCCAATCCCAGAAGGCTACTCAGACACCCTGCCAAGCATCCCCTGCCCCCCCCCAGGGTGTCACCAGGCCCTGCTGACCAAGCGTAGCAGGTTCCGCCGCTCCTTGAAGGTGGCACAACAGCCCAGGATACCTGTCACCATGACAACACCACCAGCCACCACTAGGATGTAGGCTGTGGCCAGGTAGGTGCTTGAGGCCAGCAGACTAATGTAGTCACTCTTGAGGGCCAGTGTCCAAATGCCCACTGCCATGACAGCCAATCCAGCCAGCTGCAGGAAGTACAATGGTCACCACATCTAGTCTGGGTCTGGGAGCTGGGGCGGAGCCCTAGGCCAGGCCTCCAAGATGAGAGAGGACAGAGAGGCAGCACCCTCCTCACCCAGAAGCAGCAGTTGTAGGTGAACAGCAGGTACTTGAGGCAGACGGTGCCACAGGTTGCCTTCTTCTCATTGAACTCCCCCATCCTGGGCCTGGGGAGGTAGGGAAAGGGTCCAATGGCCTACAGCACACTAGGAAGAAGGCGGGACACCAGGGGGACAAGGAGAGGATGCAGCAATGCCCAGATGCGTGCAGCAGTTTGGGCTGAGCCAGGCATCTGCTGAGAGGAGCCTCCCCAGGAACCAGACATGAGTCACTTCCTGGGCAGCAGATCAGAAGCTCTGACCCCCATAGCCAGGCACCCTGGTGCCCATACTGGGACTGTCATGGAGGACCCCCAACCATCAGCTGCTGACTCACCCCTGCTGGCAGCTGTGGGGAAGGAAGAAGCCCCCCCCAGCAGACCTTCAGGGTGCATTCCTGTGAACTGCCACCCCCACAGCATTCCCTGGGTTCGGTATCACAGGCTGGCAGGAACCTACCACTCAGACCCATCCCAGTATGTGGCAGAGCAGGGGGCTTAGACCAGCATCAGCCAGGCCACTGGGAAAGGGTCCAATGGCCTACAGCACACTAGGAAGAAGGCGGGACACCAGGGGGACAAGGAGAGGATGCAGCAATGCCCAGATGCGTGCAGCAGTTTGGGCTGAGCCAGGCATCTGCTGAGAGGAGCCTCCCCAGGAACCAGACATGAGTCACTTCCTGGGCAGCAGATCAGAAGCTCTGACCCCCATAGCCAGGCACCCTGGTGCCCATACTGGGACTGTCATGGAGGACCCCCAACCATCAGCTGCTGACTCACCCCTGCTGGCAGCTGTGGGGAAGGAAGAAGCCCCCCCAGCAGACCTTCAGGGTGCATTCCTGTGAACTGCCACCCCCACAGCATTCCCTGGGTTCGGTATCACAGGCTGGCAGGAACCTACCACTCAGACCCATCCCAGTATGTGGCAGAGCAGGGGGCTTAGACCAGCATCAGCCAGGCCACTAGTGAGGGCTCTGTGAGCAGCCTCTTGCGCCCAAGACATGGCAGGGACAATAGAGGTGCCAGTAGGTGGAGCCTATACTAACCAGCTCCCCTCCAGACTCGGGGGTGGGAACACCCCAGTGCCCATAGAAGGGGCCATGCTCCTCCCCAAGGCCCTTGAGCACACTAGTGTCTGCACTGTGGGGTGCAGACCTTAGTTGAGCACCTCGGGCCACATTTCCAGGCAGGACTTTCACCGGCTGGCTGCCTGCCTCTCTGGCTCTCCCCCAGCACTCACCTCTGTGGCAGGAAGAAGTCACAAGTTGCAGGTGTGGCCTCACCAGGCAGGTGGGGTAACTCCTCCTGCGGTGGCCAAAGCAGAGGGGTCACAATGGCTTCCAGAACCTCCAGGTCAGGAGGGAGGCAGAACGGCCAGGCCTGGTATTTTCGACTGGGCCAGGGTGGGGCACAGGACACTGCCGGCCAGCATGATCTTGGGAGGGACCAAATGCCTCTTCCAGGTCCCCACCCTCCAGACCCATCACTGTCCCTCCCCCACCAAACAGCCCTGACTGCAGCCTGGGAAAGAAAGCACTCCACTCTGGGAAGTCACAGACCTCCACCCCGGGCTGGGGTCCAAATATTGCCTCACGGGGCGGGGGACACGACACAAACAGACCCCCCTGCCACCGAACGAGCCTGGCGGCTAGACCCTGCGGGTGAGCTGCTTCCAGGCAGACCCAGCAACCAAGGCCAAACCGCTGCGTGGCCCCTCTTCCCAGAATTGCAGGCTGAATCTGAATCCTCAGCGTGGGCGCCACGGCTCGCCAGAAATAGATCCTGGAGCTGGACACAGCCGCCCTACACCAGCTCCTAACCTCCTCCCGGCCACACCAGGCCCACCGAGGGGCCGCCGGACTCGGCCGCAGCCGGCTGGGCGAGGAATCCCCGACGCAAACGAGATGAAGTCACAGCCCCCACCCCGTGCCAAGGGGCGGACCTGAGGTCGCAGGGGAGGGGACCGGCCGTCCGGGGACAACGGACAGGGTGCTCAGACTGCGACTTCCCGGTTACTGCAAGAAAGGGCCCGCCGGGCCTGTCCCGGAGCACCGAAGTATCCCTTCCACGGCTCTCCCCGCCAGGCCGCGGACGCCAGTCTCCTTCCGGAAGGGGCCTGCGCCGCGTCCCACCCCCCGAGGCCGGCAGCAGGGCGTCGAGACCCTGGGGCGCCCGGACCCCGGGACACCGCTTCCCGCCCCGCGGCCCAGCGTGGCGCACTCACCCACCGAGCGTCGGAATCCCAACCGGGCGGCGGCTGCGGGGGCGGCGGCTCCGGGCGCAGGGAATGCGCGGCCCCGGGCCTGCGAGGACACGCCCCACCCGCGACCCCGCCCCGGGCACAGCCCCGCCCACGGCTGGCCGGGCCGGGCAGGTCCCGACTGGTTGATGCTGGGGCCAGCGGCAGCCCGTGCTGCACCGGGGTCCTGCTGGGTGTGAGGTTCCCGAGAGTTGCAGCCTGGGGCACCCGTCTTCGGCCACCCAGAGACGAGACAGAGGAGCTAAGTGGGAGGCAGATCCAGGGGGAGGAGGTGGTCCCTAGCCATGGCGCCAGAGGCCCTGGACTGCTGGCAGGACTACGTCTTCCTCCAGGCCCAGTCTGGGGGCCCACCCTGAGGATGCAGAATCACAACAGATAGGGCGTGGAGTGGGTCAAGATCCAGCTACTGGGAAAATGCCCGAGAGGGGCACAGTGTGGCTGACATGGAGGCACGATGAGCCAATTCAAGAGGTCCTCAGTCTGGAGGGCGTGAAGTCAAGGGGTAGTGCCAGGGGATGAGGGAGAAAGGCCCTGGACCAGACAGCTGATTGCAGAAGTGAGGAGCAGGCCTGTCCACATGAGGGCTGGCATGGGGGTGGATGGCTACTGAAACTTGAGTCCCTGGAGCTTCAGCCCTGAGGGATGGTGAGGAGGAGCTCACCATGCTTGGAGCATGACCAGGGATACAAAACACACAGGCACCCACAGCCCCAGGAGGACAAGGCCTTGTGCCATGTCTGAATCTCTCCCATGTCACTTTGTGGCATGGACACCTCATGCATGCACTGTGGCTCCCAGACACAGAAAGCCAAGGAGTGCATGACGGTCAGTGGACTTTATTGGAAAGAGTTTTGTTGCTGCTGAGCATAGATGAGGACAGGAAGGAGACCCTGACCACCCCCAAGTTACTTCCTTCACATCTTCCTTCATGCAGTTGACATTTTCTGGGTAGAGCCCACATACTGAGCAAACAAGTCCCCTTCTCGGAGCAGCTCCCCCAAATCACTTGGGACTGGTCATCAGGCACTAGGAAGATGGCCAGAGCCCCATCTGGGGGGCCGAGCCCAGTCACAGCAGCAGCAGGTGGGCCCAGGCTTCTGAATAGCTAGAGCCTTCCGGTGGCTACTGGTCAGCATCTTAGTCTCACAGGCATCCCGCTCATCTCGAAGCCGCATATTCAGATCCCTAAAGAAGGGGACTATGAGGCTGGAATGGGGAGAGGACCAAAGTCTAGGGGAAGCAGAGCCCTGAATGGGGAAAATGGGCTGACTCCCCTCAGTCCAGAGGCCTGCAGCTTATGGGCTAGACAGGAGACATAAGGACTTCCATCAGGATGAGGCAGAAGCCAAGAATATCTGGGAGTTTGGAACCCCTCCTTCCCCCTGCCTAGGCCTGACCCACCTCAGCAGTTCCAGTTGCCTTAAAAGGCTGTGCTTCTCTTTCTGCATGTTCCTGGAGACAGCAACCACATCTCTGTGGGCAGAAGGTGGCAATCCATATGCAGGGGGTGGGAGTTGGCTCCTGGCCCTCTGCCCTCCCCACAGGCACTTCCTCACACCTTTGGGTTTGCTCCTGACGGCCCTGTGCTTCACCTTCCAATCTGCTGAGCTGTTCCTGTGCCTGGTCCAGCTGTGCACGGAGTGCCTCATAGGCCCGACGCAGCTGGGTGTGCTGGGCCTGGGCCTCTAGCTGTTCTGAAGCCCTGGCCTGCAACTGCTGTTCCAGCTAGGGAAATGTTGGGGTGCAGGCTGGCAAACCTCCGGTGCCAGGCTTGCTCCTCGCCCCTGCGGCTTCTTGCTGAGGGCCCCAAGTGTGCGCACAGGGAACCCCAAGGCACCTGAGACCGCCTGCAGACGCGGCGTGAGCCTACCGAAGCTCACCTCCCGCTGCCTCAGGCCTGCGCGTTCCAACTCTAGCTCCCGGGTCTGCAGCTCCAGCTCCAGGCGGCCCCTCTGCTCCTCCCTAGGCGGGATCTGGGATGGAAGATGGCACCTGAGACTTCCCTCCAGTGCAGAGGAGGCAGGTGGAGGGACAAGGGCTGGGGAGGGACGTGGAGGGGTGGACACCACCTGTAGGGGCACTTGGTGAGGCAGATCAGGCCTCGCTGGACACCCGACAGCCTAGACCCACGGAGGACAAGTCCTTGGGGGAAGGACCAGTTCAGGAGAGGTGGAGCCGGGGAGGCCAGCGAGGTTCGGCGGGACCCGCGCGGGCTCACCTGTCTCTGTGCGCGGCGCCGCTGTTCCCGGAGCTGCTGCTCCAGTTCCTCGTACAGGCCTCGCACCTCTCTCTCGTGCTCACTCTCCCGCCTTCGGGGAACCGTGATGCGACAGTCGTCAGCATTTGCCAGCCTCGTCTCCGACCCCTCCGTGGGACCCTAGAACCGCGCGGACCCGCCCTCACCGCCGCAGCGCTTGCTCCAGGCCGTCGCGCTCCCGGGCCGCCGCCTCCAGGCAGGCGGACGCGCGCATCAGGACATCCTCCAAAGAGCCCAACAGCTCCGGACGCTCGCGGTGCAGCCGGGCCCAGAGCGCCTGCACAGCCCTCTGCCTGCAGGGTGCGAGCGGAGAATGAGACCAGTGCTGGCGTATACAGGACGGGAGGTGTCTCCCCTGTGCCAACGGTGAAGCCCTGGGAAAACCCCGAGGCCCAGGACAGGAGCCTTGGCGGTGCTGCGTATTACTACGGAGGGTGCTCGCTGGTGCCCGCTGGGCCTCTGCGCGTGCCCGTTTGCAAGAGGACAAGGTGGCCAGTGTACCAGGGGCTGCGCCCGCCTGAGCATGACCGCCAGTGGCGCCCCACCCCGCAGCCCTAGCTGCAGCCTCCTGAAATGCAAATCTTGGGGAAAATCACGCCCGGCCGCTCTCAGAGTCACAGTTGACAATGGCTGAACCTAGCCTGGACTAGGGATTCTGCGGAGCATGGAGAGGAGCCGCCGCCAGAAGCGGGAACATGGGGCGGGTCTAGCCTCCACTCACTCGCTCAAGACCCGGGCCACTCCCAGCTGCTCTAAGGCAGTGTGGAAAGTCTCATCTTCCTCCTCCTCTTCCATAGAGCCCCCGGTGCGGGACTCAAAAGTTTCCTCGGGAGTCCTCGAGGCGGGCGCGCCTTGGGCCAACTCCACCCCCACAAACTTCCCTAAGGATGTGAGAAGAGAAATTACCCAGACTGTAGGTTACCACCCTGGACCTACCCCCCTCAACATATCCTGTCCTCTCTCAGGGCCCAGTTTCCTGTTTTTCTTCCTTATTCTGGTTCTGTTGGCCTGGGAATGGGAGGTGATAGCCAGCTCCTGGCCCCACCTAGGTTGGCAGAGAAGGGGATTGGGGGAGGGCAGACCACACACTGCACAGCAGCTGGTGGAGGGGGGTGCAGCTCACAGGGCACCTGAACAGTAGACACCAGAATGCCCTGCAGGGGTGTGAAAGGCACAGGCTGTGCAGAGTCCTACAAGGGCCTGAACAGGATCTCCAGGTAGCTGGGACCTGCTCACCCAGGCCTAGGCAGAACTCTCGGGCTGTCAGGAAGCCAGTGTGGGCCTGGTCCAGACTTTCAAACACAGCCTCCAGCTGCTCAGGCGTGAGAAGAAGATCACTCTGCAGGCCCTGGCCAGGCAAGAAGGACACTGTGAGCAGCCAAGGTCAGCATGGGGCCAGGCAGCCAGCCTCTTGGAACTGGAGCTCACCTGCAAGTCCTGCCTGGTGATGAAGCCCTTGGCATCCTTGTCACACAGTAGAAAGAGTTCCTGGGCCTGCTGCAGCACCTCTGCCTGATGATTCCCTGCCGAGGTCCCCTCTTTCTCCTCCTCCTCCTGGCCCTCCCCAGCCCCGGGCTGCCCAGGGCTGGCCATAGGAGCAAGTCTTGGCTCTGTTAGATGCTGTGAAGCCAAAGGAGGATCAGAAGAAATAGGAAGAGGAATGAAAGTGTGCCAGATGGAAAGAAGGCCTGGGACATGGGTGCTGTAGGCCTGGGTGTCATGGGGGTGGGATGAGGCTGACTTCAACCAAAGGGGCTGCCTAGGGCTTGGCATTGCAGGAGGTGGAGAGTCAGGGGAAAGGCTGCCACCCTGGAAGGGGCCTAAGTGTAAACTACTTAGGAAAGAGGGGTTGCAGGCCCCTAGCAGCCAGGGGACAGAGCTTGGGGTGAAAGAAGATCAGTGGGTACACCCTGGACTTGGGAGATCCCAAAATGGGACTGATCAAGGAGGAGGGCTGAGTCACTTCTGGCCAAGACCTTAGCCCCGGGCCTGAACCTGTGATACCCTGGCCTCCTGACAGCTGGTAAACCCGGTAATCTCCACTAGCCCCTCCCACCTGGCAACCAGGCCCCAAGGGTGCAGGTGCAAGGTCCCAACCCTGGGTACTGGACAGCTTTTGCCAGCAACACCTCCACATACTGGATTTAACACAGCCTCTGGGCTCTTCCCATCCCCTGGGCTCGCCTTCTCAGCACCTGAAAGGGACGTCTCACTTCTAACCAGAGTCACCTGTAGTTTCCATAATGTACTGGCCCTAGATTTCCCCAAACTACACCCCAGCCCGGACTCCAGTCCAGATCTAGCTTCTCTCTCAGGCAGTGTGGGTCATCTTCCCTTACCCATATACCGGGAGAGCGGCCACCCCCTAACAGAGCAGAAGCCACGGGGTAGGGCTGCCCGGGGTCATTGCCCCCTGGGTGTTCCCCTCCCCTGGGCGCGGTCACCAACAAAACCGCTCCCGGGCCCCACGGGACGGGACGGGACGTCCATCCCAGCCGGAAGCTGCACTTTGTCCAGGCCCCAGGGAGTCCGGAGGAAGGGCAGCGGGTGGGCCCCGCGAGCCCGCGTCCACGTAGTCTGGAGTCCAGCGGGTTCTGCTGCGGCGCCCTGCAAGACCACGGTTGTCCCGGACCGAGACGCGTGCGGTCGGCGCCTCGGCCCTGCCGTCTGGAGGTGCGCCCAGGGCCGGGAGCCGGGGAGTCGGGAGAGCGCGGCGTGGGACCCCGGCCGTGGGACCCCCACCGCGGGACGTGCGAGCCGGCGCCTACCTGCGAGCCGCGCCGCCGCACCTGCTGGGCGCGCTGCTCCTCCCGGAAACGCGCGGCGCGCCCCGCCCCTGCTTGGACCCCGACAGCCGGCGAGTGGCGCGGGCCGGGAGCGACCTTGCAACCTTGCAGGCCGGGAGACCCCCCCCTCTCCGAGAGAGCCGGCCCGGGTGGATCCTCTGCGGCCGTGTCCCCGCCTCTCCTGCCTTCCCGGTGGCCCGACCCAGGGTGGCGAGGTCTCCCCGGAGACCCGCAGGGGGCAGTCATGTCTCCCACCCTCCCGGGACCCTAACTGGGCGGGATCAAGGCCGCTGGGGTGCCAGTACCAACCTCCACCCCGTCCGGAGGATCCAGACTTGGGGCGCTAAGGTCTGTGTGTAGGAAACTGCGGAGCAGGAAATAGACCAAATACTTTGAGTTGCTGTCTCTAGGGCTGGAAGACTCCACTTTCTTTTCTATACTTTTCCAGTTTGGGCTCTAAATTTTAGTACTAGAAATTGGCGTTTAAGTTAGCAGCATCCCTGTGTGAGGGAAGTGAGTGTGGGGGCAGAGGGAGGCCACCAGCAGCCTCCCCCAGCACTGCTTTTGGGGAACAGTCCTGACCAGGATTCCTCTAGGGAAACTCCTGGAGAAACTCCAGGAGGCCTGGAGCAGAGCCAACCTTCTTGGGAGGAAACCTATCCACTTCAAGGGTCCCCCCAACCAAGCCCCTAAACCCACCTGGAGGGCTGACCTGGCTGTCACCGCCTGTAGCAGCGCTGGAGGCCTTGCACGTCTCTAAAAGAGCCACAACAGGCTGGCCCTATAGGACGGGACCTGGGGGAGGGGGGGAGCTGGCACCCAGGCTAGGGACCTGCCTGGCCGGCTCTCCCAGTCCTGCTGTCCCAGGTCCCATAACCAGACCAACCGTTATTGTTGGCTGGGGGCTGCAACCACAGTCACTCCTCACTCTTTGGGAGGGGCAGCAAGTAGGTGCTGAGCAGTGAGGAAAAAGCTCGAATATTCCATCACTCCCTTACTCCTATGTCACATCCTCTCAGGCTGCACTCCCTCCAGTAGAGGACTTTTAGGAAACTGGTGCGCAGCTCCAGTGAGTTAAGACCTCAACTCTGCCCCGCGTGCGGATTAGTACTCCAGACCCCTTCTAGGTCCTGGCAGGAGGCAGGGATTGGAGATGGCACATGAACCTGGCAATCACCTGACAACCAAGGAAGAACAGAGGCAAGCACAGAACTTTGGGTCAGACGCCCGCGTGGGACAGAGACCAATGTTCCCTGGTCCCTAGGCCTCAGAGGCTCCAAGAACCTCACCCCTTCATGGGGATCCAGTCCTGAAGTCAGCCCCACACCCTCACTGTGTCACTATGTGGGGCGGATGTGTGGGTGACACCTTTTGTAAACATTTTCCTAGTGCTTGAGATGGAATCCAGGGCCTATGCATGCTATGCAAGTGCTCTGCCATGGAGCTACACTCCAGCCCATTTTAGTTTTTATTTATTTATTATTATTGGTTTTTTTGAGACAGGGTCTCCCTGTAGCCACATGGAACTCACTATATAGACCAGGCTGGCCTGGATCTCAAAGAGATCTGCCTGCCTGTGCCTCCTGAGTGGGATTAAAGGCGTGTGCCACCACGCCAGGGCTAGGCCTACTTTTTCTTTATTATAGTAAAGGTCTTGGTCCCAAACATATTTTGGTCTTGGTCTTGGTCCTTGGAGATCTGTGCCTAAGAGTCAGTCAGCAGGCATCACTGGCAACAGCAGCATACCTATAGGTCTTTACCAGAGGGGTGCCATAGAAGAAGGTCCCCCAGGTGCCAGGCCCCAAAGAAGCTCTGGAAGGCCTGACTGGTGAGCTGAGGGAAGCAGGCTGTGTCCGCTGGTCTCAATCAGAGACGGAGGAAACACTCAGGAGGGCAGAAGTTGAGCTGTGGCTTTTATTGTAGCTACTTTGGCAAAAAATAAATAATTTTTCACATGTTGTAAGGAAACTTGAAAAACTGGGAGCAGATGTGGAGTTTGCAAAAGTGACCCTGCACTGAGAAAGTGGTGGGCATGGACAGGAGAGTAAGGCAAAGGTGAAGGGGAACCTCTGTGGGCCCCAGGGGAGGGCTACTCCTCACCCCTCCCCATCCAGAGCAGCAAGTGAGTGGCTGGTTGAAGGGGGTTCACAGCAGCTGTGCAGGGCCCTATCTCCTCACTCCACAGTTTGTAAGGGGGAGAGCCAGGGGACAGGGTCTTGGTCAGCCCCAAGGCTCCTACTAGCAGAGCAGGACAGTTTGGAGCTTAGCTGGGAAAGGTGGGCGTGGCTCTCAGCAAGGTGGCAGGCCAGGTGGATGCTGTGGGGTTGCAGGGTCCTTGGGGGCAGGGCTGGCAGGCGCATGCATACGCAGGGCATCAGGAGGGAAGGCCACATTGGTACAGAAGAGACCCAGCAGCAGCTGACGTTGACATTCCTCCCATTTGGCCAGCGCATCTCCCAGGGAGAGGTTGTTTCGTACCCAGCTGGGCAGTGCCTCGCTGTAGGTGGCGCAAGATAGGGGCACAGAAGGTAGCGACTGGGCTCGGCGCAGTTCCACCTGCTCCGACAGTCTGCAGGTGGAGAGGGATGGAGGAGGGAAAGCTTAGTGGAGGTCTGATGCTCTAGGCCCCAGATGGACAGGCAGCCAGGGCAGCATACCTGGAGGGCAGATGGTCACCCAGTTTCCTCTTGGCCCGCATCACCAGGTACTGGCAGATGCTACCTGTCTGCTCCTTCATCCACCGGATATCCTCAGGAACATCAGGCAGCCACTCCAACAAGCTGGGGTAGGAGCACCAAGTGCTGCCTCAGAGACAGCAGCTGGGCTCTGATGCTCACCTGTCAGATACCCTGCTAATCTACTATCCCCAACTTCCCAAGGAGTCAGTCACTTATGTTTGACTTCTGTCCTCAGTGTCTCCTCCCCCAGCCCTCCTTCCCACACTCACCGGATGGTGAAGGACACTGCACTCTCCAGTGGCAGAGTATAGGGTACCATCATGGCGGTTGCCAGGCGCACTGGCAGCATGTTGGACAGTGTGGTCATCAGGTCTTTGGGCTCCACACAGGCCTCCAGCAAGGCTGCAGGTGGGAAGGTAGTGATCAATCAGGGAAGTGGAACTGGCCCTGGTGTCCTGGCCCAGCTTCTCCCTGAGCCCTGTCCTCTCCTCTGTCTTCCCTTGCCCATGGCATACCCTCATTGAGCCTGGCCGGCAGGTGTTCTAGAATTTGATCTTCCCCATGGGGCTGCAAATGGTCCACTTCTCGGGTCCTCTCCTCCGCCACAGCCGCTTCCTCTGCATCCTCTTCCTGGGGGGGATTTGGGGGCAGTGCCAGCAAGGGATTGGGCTGGTTCAGGAGGCCTAAGTGGGGGTTTGGGTAACAGGGAGATACCATCCAAGTCAAGGTCCCTGCCCACCAGCAGAGGGCAGTCCAGAGCCAGCTCCACCCACCAGGCAGCTGTCTATACCCACCATTCCTCCTAAGGAAACGCAGCCCATCTCTGTAACCCTGCTTGCACATCTCTCGAAGCACCTGTGGCAGGGGGATGGATAAATCAGCCCAGAAAGATAAGATGCAAAGATGCGGACAGGCCCTGCTCTAGAGTCCCCAAGACTGCCACTTCCACCAACAGCCTATCCTGGTTGTACTCCTTGGCTAGCACATGTGGGAGCTTCTCAGCCCCTGATACTCAGGTTGGATTGGCTATGCCAACTCACCATGGGCTCTGGAGGGAAGAGGGCCTTGGAGAGGCGATAAAGGTTTCGCAGATTGAACTGGATGCTGGTGTTGGTGACCCGAAGCTCATGGATGTTGGTGGAGCTGTCCTGTGGGCAGATGTCACTCTCCCCAGAGAACGGGGACACCGTGATGGTGTTCTTCAGCTCATAGAGTGGCAGGTTGTCTGAAATGCCGCCATCCACGTAGCGCTTTGCAAGGACACACAGACACAGAGTCACATACTGAGGGGACTGCAGGGTGTGCTGGCAACCCTACTCTGGCTGTTTCATTCTGCTCATTAGGCACTGGCCACTGGGGACTCAGCAAATGGCCAGACTCAGCAGATGAGGGTGAACAAAGGACACAGGACGTATGCATCTCCCCAAGCTTGCCTGCATCTTGAGTAATGGGAAGTGAGGCAACAGACAGAGTGAGGGACTGGACAGGGGCGGGCTCTGCAGGTCTTTCTCCTCCACCTCCTTGTTCTACACCCCAGACACTAGCCGATGCTTGCCGTTCCAGGGCAGGGCCAGGCAGGGATACTTACCACCCCTTGGAGGGTAGGAGGGATGAGGCCACAGTATACAGGGATGAAAGTACTGCAGACATTGGCCTGAAAAACAAGACAGAGAGCAGTGAGCAGGGCCCTGCCTAAGTTCATCCTAGCCCCCAACCTAGCTTCTCTAGGGCCTACCTGGATGAGCTCATCTTTGGAGCTAAAGTGTGATATGATGACATTCTCTCCATCTGAAACACGGGTCAGGGAGATACCCAGGCGTCCACTGGCACGTTCATGGCAATCAGGGGGCAGGGTCTTCAGTAGGCAGCCACGAATGGTCTTCACCAAGTTGAAGGAGGGGTGCAGAGGACCCAGGAACCGCTTCCGGGCCTCCTTGGACACTTCAATGATGTTGGCACCTGCCTCACCTAAGGCAGCAGGGCCAGGATCAGGGGCAGCAATCTGGGCTTAGCAACCAACCATCCTTCCCCCCCAGGACTCAACACCTGGGAAACCACAGTGCTCAGATATGTGGCATTCCACTGACCCTGAAGGTTCTCAGGGTCCATGTTGAAACCTGGCTTATGACTGGAACTTTACCACCTGTCCCTAGGTGGAGGGAGGCAGGCCACCACCCTGGGGATGGCAGATACCAAGGATTAGCCGTCTGGGACTGGGACCTGCCCTCTGCCCAGTATTTCCCAATTGCTTGTCCCCATGAGTCACTCAGCATGATGTGGTATGGCAAGTGGCCCAGGAGAGTGGAAAAGCAGAGGGTCAACTCTGACCGGCTTCAACCTTCACCTACTTACCAGATCTGGGTGGGTGGGCAAACCCGCAAAGCACCAGCCCAGGGGGCACAGCCCCAAGGGCATCAGGCTGAAAATGGTGGACCCACCTCCTGAGAAGACATGACTGTCCCACTGCAGCCAAAATCAAGTACCCCAAATACTCCTGGGGCCCATGGACACTGGTCCAGGACAAAGATAGAGTGGCTAGGGAGAGGAGAGCCTAGGGATTCTCCAGAGGATTCTTGCCCTCCTCCAAGACTCCCTACTTGGCAGGGATGAGGCAATGTAGACAAGGGGCTCACAGCTGCCACCTGCCACACTGCCCAGGTTCTGGCTGCCCAAGATAAAGAAGTGTTGGGAGTGGGTAGGAAGGGTTCTAGGAGTGGCAGCCTCAATTCTCAAATCAGGTACAGTCCTGACACCAGCACTGCCTAGTCATCTGAAGGCCTCCATGAGACTAGGCAGGATTCACAAGGTGAAACTTCAGGTCTCCAGGAAGAGGTGACAGGAAGACAGCAACAAAGAACCCCCGGACCTGGACCTGCTCCTCCGGCCACCCTTGTCACCTTGGCTGCCCTATCAGGCTGGGGGCTGGGCAGCAGTTCCCAGGACTCCGAAGAAGGAAGAACGCTATGTGCTGTAAACACCACTCCCACGTGGCAGCCGGAAGTGTGTGAGAGAGGCCCAGTCCTCCCCTCATCCCTGCACTCCTGACACCCTCCAGAGTACAGAAGCATGCCCACTTCGTGAAGTGGGCCAGCCAGCCACATCTGGAGAACCCGGCTGTGACGGCACGATAGACAGAAGAAGAACTTGTAATGCCCAGCTCTGACTCCACCCGGGCTCTGCTATTAGAGACCCTCGGGAGGGACCATGGGAAGTGGCCAGATGCTCCTTCCAAGTACCCGTGCACTAGGCCCCAAGACCACAGCAGCTCGGAACCAGAGCCTCCGGACACAGTGACCCCTGGCAACCAGCGACCGGCGCCGTAGGCCCCTCCTCCGACTCTCATGGTCCCGCCCACGCCTTACTTTCGCTTTCCAATAACACAGCTCAGCGGCACCTGCCCGCCCCCAACCTTTGTGCCCCGGCAGAGAGCGCCACGGGCCGGGAACGCGCCAGGCCCCACCCTGGGCACTTTGGGAACAAAAACAAACCAGGACCCGCCCCGGACTGGCGCCCAGAACTGAGCCTTCAGCCGTGGTCCTGGGGCGCCGGGCAGAGACCCCTCTCCACCGCGCCCACCGCACCCGGCAGCTTCCCTAGGCGGGCCGGGGGTGGGGCGCAGGAGAATCCCCGGGCGCGCGCGGGGCCCCGACCCTGCCCGCTGGCGCCCATCCCTCACCCAGGCAGGCCCCGGTCACCAGCGCCGTGGCCGTGAGCGCCCCGGCCGAGGCCCCGTAGATGTGCGTGGCGTTGGCCACCAGGAAGGGCGCGTGCTCGCGGAGGCAGGAGGCCACGCCGATGTGGTAGACGCCGAGGAAGCCGCAGCCGGCGAACGAGATGTTCCACTTGGTCTCCCTGGGGAACATCGCGGCTCGGGGTTCCGCGGGCAGCGGGTCCCGCAGTCGCTGGAGCTCGGGGTCCCCGCCGGCGGAGGCGGAGACGCTGTGCCGGGAGGCGCGGGAGGAGGTGTTTTAGTGCGCGGCTGGGGCGGAGCCTGGGCGCGTGGGCCAACCGGATCGCGCCGAGAACGGCCGCGCCCCCGAGGGCCCGCCCCTCCACGCCACCTGCCGGGCCGCACCACCTAGGCCGGCCCGAGGGTCTCCCGCTCCGGGGCCGCCCTCCTGCGCACGACCCCGTACCCAGAGCCGGTGCGGAACCCAGGGCCGGTTGAGCGCGTGGGGAGATCTGGGTACCCGCGAAGGGGCCCTGGTTTGTGGGGCAGCCGCCGCCCCCTCTTCCAAGGGACGCCCACGCGGAGCTGGGTCCTGGGAGAAAAGCATCCAAGGCACTCGCTTGGGCCTGGAAAGCAGAGCCCCCCAGGACCCACGGGCCCAACAACAGACTGACGCTGGCCCAGCAAACACTGCTACAGACCCAAGTCCTGCCCCCCCCCCCCCCCCCCCCCCCCCCCCCCCCCCCGCTGCTCACCTGCATCTACACCTGTCTGAGCCTGGCTCCTCAACTGCTGCGTCGACCAGGTCTCCGACGAGGGCCACGCCCCCACTGATTGCTCCGGGAGGTGGTGCACTGCGGTAAGGTCACCCTCCACCCCCTTTCCGCATTGTTCCCGCAGCTGTGGGACAGGCTAGGCTAGCCTAGATTTACGATTAACCCTCATCTCGCCCCACCCCAAACAAGGGTCTGGCCTAGGTGTTGGGTGACACAGTATGCGTCTTTTTATACGGGAATTATCTCTCCCAGGAGGGGCTCAGCTCTGGACCTGTCACAGCACAGAAATGTAAGTGTGTTTGCCAGCAGCTGTACTTGAGGATCCTCAAAGCCTCCATGACTGGACTCAGGCGACCCAGGTTCTTGACAACTACTACAGAGAATCATTTTAGGACCAGAGTGAAAGCAAGAATCAAGGGCAGCCATTGGAAATGTGCCTCAACAGTAGCTACCTATGTGATTTGGGGGCTTTGAAGCAGCTTAATCTACAATTAAGCTAAATTCAGACATTAGCAAGAGGATTGCAGGTACACTTTTTTTTTGTTTTTTCTAATCCATAGAATTCTGTTTTAAAGGATTTTTGCTTGCCTCTTGAAATCCAGGCTGGCCTTGAACTCCCGAACCTGCCTCCACTTCCCAAATGCTGGGATTACAGGAGTTTACCACTGTAAGCAGCCAAGAGACTTTAAAGATACTGTGTAGGCCTGGAGCTGTAGAACAAAGTGCTCACAGGGGAAAACACCAAAGGGGCCCTTACTTTTGTGTCACAAGGTTGGACTTAAGACACAGTTTATTATCTATTTTGTTTTGTTAAGTTTCTCGGAAAAGGGAATGCAGTTCTTTTGGCAGGAGGTCTGGCCAGTTATGTTGAAAACTCCTGGGTGTCAGCCATCAGAAGGAAATTACCAGGAGAGTGAGGGCAGGGGGTGGCTTCCCTTTCTCTTGGGTGCCAGAGCTGGTTTTTAAAATCCCTCTGGTAGTTCTGAGAGCAGGGATTGGGTTGGGAATGAAGCAGCAGCCATGGAAGCTGACTGGTGGATGGAGGGACCTCAGCATCCCGTTCCATGTGCAAGGGGACAAGTCTGGGGAGTGGGAGGTAGTGTTCTGGGAACATGGCTCCTCTATAAAGTCATTCTGACCAGTCCTTAGATGGTACTCCAGACAATTCCAGGCTCAGATTCAAGACTGGGTGCTGGCGTGGGTGCAGGAATAGGGTATCAAGTTGAGGTCAGTTGTGCTCCAACCCACTGTGGATTCACAATGAGTAAAGAGCCCCAGGGGCTGCTGGGCTGAGATCTGAAAAATAAGTAACCAGGTAAGGACACAGTCCAAGGAGGCTGTGGAACAAGGAGAGCTGGGGGATGTGACAGAAAGGTACCCCACAGCGGTCAGAAAGTGGGTCCTCGATCCCCTGGAGCCCCCAGAATTTCTTTTAAAGGTCCCTCTTGACATGTATGCAGACCCACACCTGTAAGCCCAGAATTTGGAAGGCCTAGGTTGAGTTCCCAACTGAGGGCTAAAGATGGCTCAGAAGCTGAGAGCACTGGCTGACCTTTTGGAGGACTCGGGTTTGGTTCCTGACACATGGCGGCCGACAACTGGTCTCAACTAGTTTCAGGGAATCTGCTGTCATGGGACATGGGTACATTTACATATTTAAGACAAAACATACATATGAAATAGAAAAGTTAAAAACTTGAGAGTTCCAGATTAGCCTATGTCACATAATGAATTTGAGGTCAAATGCTCTGAACGGGGTGTATAGTGATTAGTGTGACCAGTGGCTCAGGAAGACCCTAGTCCTTGGGATTCTGGGTGACACAGAGGCTCCAAGCATGGCCCCACAATAGAACAGGCCCCAGGGCCAGCCAGGAAGTCCAGGTCTTAATGGGGTGTGGAGCAATCACAGGGAGAAGCAAAGAATTTAAGGTTCAAGCAGAGCACGGTAGTGCACACCTTTAATCCCAGCACTGGGGAGGCGGTGGCAGGCAGTTCTCTGGGAGTTTGTGGCCAGCCTGGTCTACATAGTGAGTTCCAGGCCAGCTGGGGCTACAGGCCTGAGGATAGTGCTGCCCCAGCTCAGGAAGACCTCTGTCCTCATTTCCAGAGGGTCAAGCTGTCTTGGGTACACATCTCTCCAGGCCCCTGGGAAACTCTGGGGCCAAGAACAGGGCTGGACTTTCTCAGAATTGACTGGGTCTGGATTGACCCTACCCCCGTGAGTGCCAAGGGCAGGCTTATGAGATGGCTAAGTGGCATAGGCCCCTTCCTTACCAGTCCAGGCTGGAACTGAGCTATGCCCAGAACCCTAGACCTACTCCTCAGACCCCAGCCCCACCATCACCTGCTCCCTTGCAGCCACTGTTCATCCCAAGGGACCCTGGCTATGGCTTCTGTCCTTCTGGCTCCCTGCCACAGGAACCACCAGTTACTCTTGCCTCCAGTTCTCAAGGCCCCTCCCTACCACTGCAACATTGAAAGATGAAAACAGCTCAGAACCCACATCTTGCTTCTCCCACTCTTGTCATCTGCTCCAGGCTGGCTCCTCCAGCCCCTCTGCATGGCACTCACCTCTTTAGAGTAAGGTAGACCCTTTATGCTGCAGTGTTGCCAGTTCCCAAGCAGCCTGGCCAGTTCTTTGTTGGCAAGACTGGGGACAGAGCAACAGAGCAAGCAACGTCCACTTCACACCCCAGGCAGTTTGAGAACAGGCCCACCTAAGAGGATTAATAACCTGCATGTGGCTTTCTGTTCACACCCTCACACCTACCCAGTCAACACGATTGGCCCATTAGACACTCTCAAGAACTTAAGACTGCTCAAGTCATCTACTCACACTATGGCCCTCACAAGAAATTCAGAAATATACCCCCACCCCACAGCTCAAACGGAGCCTTCATCTATGAATCCATGGCTCCAGGCACCAATCTCCTTACAGCAAACACCATTTCACCTCATTCTCTGATGCCCACATTTCTGATCCGTGTTTTCCCTGAAAACTCAAAAAGAGTTTCTCTGGAGGTGGTATGACTGCCGTGCTCTGACAAAATGCTCAAGGGCCACTCTAGTACATAAAAAGGCTTTATTTGCAGGGGAGCAGGAATTTAATCAAACAAGCCAAATCCCATGTCATCATCTGACTCCTCGGACTCTTCCTTCTTCTCATCTTTCTTCTCCTCTGCTGTGGAGGAAGATCAGAGTAAGTACTGTTCCAAAAACCCATCCAGATTGTCCAGGAAAACCTAGTCAGCAAGACTTGAACATACCCCCCTTTTCCCCACCCACGTACCAGGCTTCCACTTACCGGCAGCAGGGGCAGAGCCGGCTGCAGGAGCTGCAGAGCCAGGGGCAGCAGAGACAGCCACAGCCCCACCAGCAGGTACACTGGCGAGCTTGCCGACACCTACAATAGAGTAGGTGAGATCAGAACCAGGCACAGCCAGGAAACTCGTTCCACAGGGTGGAATGGCCCAGGAAAGCCACTGCACTAGTGGTCTAACATGCTAGGCACCACTATTACAGACTCAGAGGATACAAGGTGACCAGCCCCAGAACACACCCAAGGACACTATCCTGTTATTTAGGAGATCTCTTCCCCTGACCTGACATGCTAAGGGAGGTTTATCTACAGTCTTCTGCCCCAATGTCCAGAAGGGTTTGGTCCAAGTGGTGAGCGGGTGAACTTGCTGAACTGGCTTTGCACAGACAAGTACACTGCTACAACAGGTCAACTGGCGAACAAGTCCCAACCTCATGGCACTAGAAAACCATCAAAAGGGGGCAAAAGCCACCTGTGACACCCTCAGTCCCTGTTCCCAACCCTTTCACAGAAAGCATATAGGGAACGCCTTTAAGGAGCTCTTAATGGGTGTGGTGGTGCACCTTTACTCCCAACATTTGAAAGGCAGGCTGATAGCCCAGGCCAGCCAGGGCTACCTATTGAGACCCCACATAAAAATAAAAAAAACCCATCCTAGGAAGAATTTTAGGAAAAGGGTTCTCAGCCCATGGAAGGATCAGTGACACCACAGGGTGCCCCCTACTGCCGGCTCCCCAGTGTTGAGAAGTGCTGCTGGCATGAGCCTACAAAGGCCTTGCTCAACTTTGGCAGGGCTTCTGCGGTGCTCTGGTCCACAAGCGAAGCCTGGCAGATCACTGGCTGACCAGCAGGGATTAGGATGGACCATGAGTGTGTAAGGTTCCCTTATATAAACTCACCCTGAGCAATGACATCTTCAATGTTTTTACCATTGAGCTCACTGATGACCTGGAACAGACAATTGCAACCAGTGGTTAGGGTGGTACCTAAACAGTAAGATCCCTTGAAGCTTTGAGAGATGCACTCTCCACACAGTAGCTAGCCACCAGCCACAGAATTGAGTCTTCTGAACAGATCTGCTGGGAGTGGGACCAGAGGCTAACATTCTAAGGTTCAGCTACGTTTCACACCTACACAGGCTGAAGAGGCAAAGATACATAAAATGTCTTAAGTCGGGCGTGGTGGCGCATGTCTGTAGTCCCAGCAATTCAGGAAGCAGAGGCAGGTGGCTCTCTTTGAGTTCAAGGCCAGCCTGGTCTACATACCGAGTTCCAGGACAGCTGGGGCTACAGGGAGACCCTGCTTCAAAAAGACAAAATGTCTTCTTTAGCTGGGCATGGTGGCGCATGCCTTTAATCCCAGCACTTGGGAGACAGTCGAGACCAGTCTGGTCAACATAATGAGTTCCAGGACAGCTGGGGCTACAAGAAGACCCTGTCTCAAAAAAAAAAACCAAAAAACAAACAAACAAAAAACTTCTTTATAAACAAATTTTTATTGTTTCTTTTTATTTTGTACCTATGAGTGCAATGTCTGCATGTAGGGTAGGTGCAATGCCCAAGGTCGGAAGAGGGCATCTGATGGGCTGTAACCCAGTTCTAGGGGGTTGTTAGCCATCACTCCAGCCTGGAATATGCCTTAGGAGCTGGAGTGTCAGTGGTTAAGAATGTTAACGACTCTTAAGTGGGGTGTGGTGGCCCATGCCTTTAGTCCCAGCACTTGGGAGGCAGAGGCAGGTGGATCTCTGTGAGTTCAAGGCCAGCCTGGTCTACACAGTGAGTTTAGGTCAGCTGGGACTACATAGAAACCCTGTCTCAAAAAGACAAAAAAAAAAAAACCAACTCACTCACTATTCTTGCAAAGGAACTGTTTGGTTCCCAGCACCCACATCAGATGGCAAACCCTTTAACTCCAGCTCCAGACCTGATGCTGCTGGGGGCAATGTAGCCTGTACACGTACACACACCAACTTAAAAATAAATCTCAGTGAGATTTAAAATTACTGATCTGGGCTGGGCATGGTGATTCACACCTGTAATACCAGCCCTAGGGAGACTGAGGCAGGAAGACTGCCTCGAGGTTAGTCCGAGCTGCTACCAGACCCTGGTTCTGGGGGAAAAAGGGGAAATAAACTTGGCTATTCAAGGCCCTCAAAAGGATAGCCCAAACGCAAGCACCCAGACTGGTGCAGGCCTCCCTCCTCCATCCTTTCCAACAGGTCAGCTGCATTATTCCTGAAGGTGAGACCCCGAGCTGATGGACTCGGGCCACTGCTGGACCCACACTTGGACCTCTGGAGACAAGGGGGGGCAACTACCTTGTTGAGCCGGTCATCGTCCGCCTCGATGCCCACGCTGTCTAGGATCTTCTTGATGTCCTTGGCGCTGGGGGAGGAGTTGCCCCCGAGGGCGGCCAGCAGGTAAGAGGCGACGTAGCGCATGCTAAGTGGGCAAAGGGAACGCGGCGACGGCGTTACTCCAAAGGCCTCCTGCCTACACCCTCCATTCTTAGCCGCCCGAGATGCCGCGTGCAGCCCGAGATCTCCGACCCAGGGAGGCCGCACATCCCAAGGCTCCCGGTCGCCCGCCCCCGCGGCGTCCACCCAGGCCTACGGCGACCCACGGCCCGACCGGCCACCCCACTCACGCTGCTGCGGTGGACAGGCCTCACGCGTGCGACCTCGGCGGCGGCGGGGAGTGAAAGGAAGACGCTGACGCAGGGGGCGGGGGTAAGCCGCTACCCAGAAGCCCCCGGGACGCACGCGGCGGCGTACGACTGCGCCTCCGAGTGACGTAACGGGCCTCAGTCGGCGACCAGGAGGAAGCCATCATCTCTTCTCCAATCAGGCGTTCGCTGCAGCAATGGCAAGGGGTGATTCCAGCGCCCGTTGCTTGTATGGCGTGGGCGAAAGTCCTCCGAAACCCACGACGCGGCACGGTTAGGACCTGAAGGGGCCTGCACGCCCCTGGAGTGCCTGCGTCCCCAGCATGCCGCGCGGCGCCACAGCTCCCAACATGCAGCGCGGCCACCCCGCTCGAGGCGGTTCTTTCCGGAAGAACTACAGGTCCCACGATGCCTCGTTGCCGGCGTTGGCGCTCCACCGGAAGTGCGCAGGCGCTGCTGTACTTCGCTGGTTGCACGTGGACCAGCTGGAGGCTGGGGTTCAAGGGTTGAGCTGTGGCTCTAGCGGTGGTTTCCTGGCACCAGAGGTCCGAAGTCTGGCAGGGACTACAGGGCCCCACGTCCAGCCGGTTGCTTGATGCGTAGTGACTGCGGCCATATATGGTTACAGCCTCACTATGGACCTGGGCCAGAAGAACCCAAGCCCTCCAAACAGCGGCATCAATGCCCCAAAAGCAGTTACCCACGCCTCCTCGGAGTGTTGAGACCTGAGTGACCATACTTGTCCCGCCAGACCTGCCCACGTGGTCGTTAGCACGTGTTCACGTTTAGGCGTCTGGGATTCTGAATGGCTCCTGCTGCTTTTATCGAGGACCTGGGTTCGATTCCCATTATTCACATCACATGGCGGTTTACTGTCCTAGCTCCAGTTTCGGGGGATCCGATGCCCTCTTCTGCCCTCCTCGGATGTTGCACGACACGGGTGCACTTCATGCATGCAGGCAATACATTCATACACATAAAAATAAAATAAGTTTTAAAAAAGAAACCTTAGCTTTGGCTTGGTCTACCCCAAACCAGTAGGTGACTTTGATGAGAAGGAGCCCTCTGCACATGCTAGAATGAGCCACACTTGGTGATGGTGTCATTACCCACATCTTCACAGGAATGCTGGGCACAGAAGGGTTTTCTTTACAGGACTTTGGGTGAGGCAGGGAAGGCATCTGGCAAAGTGCAACGTCAGCAGACAACAAAGGGAAAACATCCAATGGTCTAGGTTAGAAGGTGGTACCTTGTGATTTTGGTATTTATTTACATTTTGAGACAGTCTTATCGTGGAACTCTAGCTTGTGTGGAACTCACACAGATCACCTGGCTCTGCATGACTGGTTATATTGCAACTTCTAAAAAAATTTTTTTAAATATTATTATTTTTATGTGTATTCGTGTATTGCCTGCATGTCTGTAAGTGCATCCGTGTCGTGCGATGCCTGCAGAGGATAGAAGAGGCTGTTGGATCCCCTAGAACTGGAGTTTCGGACAGTTGTTAGCTGCCATGTGGGTGCTGGGATTCGAACCCGGGTCTTCTGCAAGAACAGTGTTCTTAACTGGTGAGCCAGCTCTCCAGTCCCCCCCCCAATTTTTTTTTATTAATTTTTGAGAATTTCATACAAACTATGTTGATTATGTTCACCCCTCCCTCATCTTCAAGTGCTGTGATTTTTTTTTTTAAAGCATAAGATAACATATAACAGGGCCTGGAGAAATGGTTCAGTGCTTACATGCACTTGCTGCTCTTAGAGAGGACCTGAATCTAGTTCCTAGCACTCACATGGTGGCTAACACCCATCTGTAACTCTAGTTCCAGGAGATCGGAGCTCTAACAACCTCTTCTGGCCTCCAAACACTCATTCGTATAAATACAAATAATTGGGGGGCGGTCTTTTTGAAACAAGGTCTCCCTGTAGCCCCAGCTGGCCTGTAGCTCACTATGTAGACCAAATTGGCCTTGAACTCACAGAGATCCACCTGCCTCTGCCTCCCAAGTGCTGGGACTATAGGCATGTGCCACCACGTCTGGCATAATTTTTTTTTTTTAACTTAAAAATATGCCTGGTGTGGTGGTGCGTATGTTTGATCCCAGCACTTGAGAGGCATAGGCAAGTGGATTGCTGTGAGATTGAGGCCAGCCTGGTCTACATAGTGAGTTCTAGGCCACCAGGCCAGTTGGGGCTACAGGGAAAGCCTGTCTCAAAAAGACCAAAAAATAAAAATATAATACATGACAGCTGGGTATAGTGACATAACCCTTTAGTCTCAGCAGAGGGAGGTAGAGGCAGTAGGTTTCTGTAAATTCTAAATTCCAGGCCAACCAAGGATACACAGTGAGATCCAATCTCAAAACAAAAACCAAAATTGAAGCAGAACGTCATTTCACTGGCCTATAATCCCAGTTGGGAGGTGGAGGTTGGAAGATCATGAGTTCAAGGCTAGGCTTGGCTATGTAAGACCCTGTCTGGAACAAACGCCATGATGAATTTACTCATCATCCCAAACTGAAACTATATACCTCCCAGCCCCTGGCACCCGCCATATTTTGTTTCTATGATTCTGACCATTCCCAGCAAGTCATATTTGTGCAAATTTAATCCTGCAGTATTTGCTCTTTTGTCTGGCTTCTTTCTCTTAACAGTGCTTTCAAGATTTATCTACTTTGTAGCATGTATCAGAATTTTACTCTATTTTAAGGTTAAGTAATAGCCAGTCAGCACAGGCCTTTAATCCCAGCACTCTGGAGGCAGAAGCAGGTGAACTCTGAATTTGAGGCCTATGTGGTCTACATAGCAAATTCCAGGCTAGCTAGGGACACAGTGAGGCCTGGTCTCAAAAAATATATAAATAGGGGCTGGAGAGATGGCTCAGTACTTAAGAGCACTCCAGTTCCAGAGGAATCCGACCCCCTCTTCTGACCTCTGCGGCATTGCATGGACACATACATGCAGGCAATACACTCATACACATAAAATAATAAAAATATTTTTAAAAATATATAAATACATAATAAAGAGCTATATAATATTCCTGGGAGTGTTGTGTTTGAGATAGGGTCATGCTGTGTAGCCCAGGGTGGTTTCCAACACATGGTAATCATTCTCCCTCAGTCTCCTGGGTATTGAGGGTTACAAACAAGCACAAATCACACCAAACTCCTGGGACTGGTTTTGGTTTTTGTTTTTGTTTTTTTCTTTTGGTCTTTTTTTTTCAATTTTATTTATTTATTTTTATTTTATGTTTATGTGTGTATTGCCTGCATGTAAGGTAGTGCACCCGTGTCGTACAATGCCCACGGAGGTCAGAAGAGACTGCTAGATCCCCTGGACTGGAGTTACTGACAGCTGTTAGCTACCATTCGAACTTGGGTCTTCTGCAAGAACAACCAGTGTTCTTAACTGCTGAGCCATCTCTCCAGCCCCACTTTTGGTCTTTTTGAGACAGGGTCTCCATAGCCCCAGCTGGCCTGGAATTCACTATGTAGACCAGGCTGGCCTTGAACTCAAAGAGATCTGCCTGCCTCTGCCTCCTGACTGCTGGGATTAAAGGCGTGTGCCACCACACCTGGCAGGGATGGGTTTTTATAATGATCCCTTTGGCATCTTTATGTAAACATGAGAGGCAAAGGCTAGGAAGAAGGAAACAGTGAGGTTCTGCAGGAACCCTGTGCATCCCAGTCAATAGACTGTGTATACATGTAATCATTTACAGTTGCTCAGAGCGCTGACATTCACCAACAGCTGATATCTGAACTTTTTCCTTGTGGGATCCACAGGATTCTGGAGGCGGAGCTAAGAAGCTCATTGCACGCTGGGCGTGGTGGCGCACACCTCCAATCCCAGCACTTGGGAGGCAGAGGCAGGCGGATCTCTGTGAGTTCAAGGCCAGCCTGGTCTACGTCGTGAGTTCCAGGACAGCTGGGGCTACAGGGAGACCTTGTCTCAAAAATACTGAAGAAAAAAAAAAAAAGAAGTTCATTGCCTGCACAACTGGCCCCGAGTGATTTTCATAAAGGAGGGTCATCTGAGCTTCAACAGGTTGGAGGGCTTTGCAGAGTCTGAAGGAGGGTCCCAGAAGAGGCCCTGGGGGTTGGCTGCACACCGGCTATTCAGAGTTCTGGTTGCTAGCAGGGAGTAGGTGTCAGGGAGCCTCTATCACCAGCCTCTTAAGGTTCCCCCCCAAATTTCTGCGTTGGGGTAAGGCACCTGGGGCTGAACCTGTGCCCGAGGTCAGAGTCCAGGGCCCCGGCAGACCCCAGCCGGTCGCAGGGACGCGCTCAGACGGGCCGGCCCGGAGGGGCGGAGCCGGAGTCGCCACCCGCCCGGAAGAGCGCGGGCGGGAAGCAGCGCGCGTCGGGCGGCGCCGGGACCAGCGGGAAGTTTGCAGCGGAGAGGGCAGGACCCGAGCTGCCCCACGCGGGCCGAGCCCTGCTCCGCGTTTCCCAGCTGACCGAGGTGCGAACTGGGAGTTGTGCCAGGATGTGGGGCACCAGCCCCAGGACCCCCCGGTCCCCTTGCCTCCACCCCCACGCGGTTTGCTGACCCTCGGAGGCACAGCTGCATCTATAGTGGGTGAGGGTCCTGGGTGCTTCCAAAGCTGATGAGTGTCAACACTGAAGGTGGGCTTTACTATTATTATTAATTATTATTATTATTATACTTTTGAGACAGGGTCACTATGTAGCCCTGGCTGACCTGGAATTCTTTGTAGCCCTGGCTGGGCTGAGACCCACCCGCCTCTGCCTCCCGAGTGCTAGGATAAAAAGCGTACGTCTTCGTGCCAGGCGAAGGTCACGTGTCCAGATTCCAGACTAGAGTAGGACGCCTCCCCTATCTCCAGGCCGCACTGTGTTCAAGGTCTTCCAGCCTTGTGCCCCTCCCTCCCAGGAGTGAGGGTCCACTTCATTTTTTTGTCTTTTTTTTTTTTTTTTTTTTTTTTTTGAGACAGAGTCTCCTAGTAGCCACAGCTGGCCTGGAATCGCTATGGAGACCAGGCTGGCCTTGAACTCAGAGAGATCCGCCTTCCTCTGCCTCCCAAGTGCTGGGACTAAAGGCGGGACTAAGGCTAGAGTCATCACACCTCGCTAAGGATCCACTTCTTTAACCTCATTTCCAGCACAAATTCAGGCCCTGGGGCTGCAGAGTGACCACAGGATCTCTTCCACTCTGTACCCCCCCCAGACCCTGGGCCCTTGGGCTAGGTGGCGTCAAGAACTCCCTGCCTCCAGCCTGAATTATTGTTGCTCTGATAGGGAGGAGGAACTGACCCCCATGACATCTGCCCCTCCTTCTGCTTCTGCAGCCTCCCTGAGCCGTGCCTGAGCAGGCCTGCTTGGCGAGCTGGGACATGTCTGGTCCCCAAGGACGTTCAGTGGGTGATGGCTACAGTGTTGGAGGGGCTGGAGCTAGAGGAAGCTGCAGCTGCTTCGGAGGATGCTGCCGAGGATGCTGCAGAGGACAGTGCTGCAGGGCCTGCTGTGGAGGCTGTGGATTCCAGACCTGGGATGCCTTTGCTCTTGACTGGGAACCAGCTGAACTTGGACCTATACTCTGGGGGCTGCCGCCACCTGCAGCACCTGTGTGCCCAGGAACCCCCACAGCTGCTGCAGGTGGAGTTTTTGCGGCTCAGCACCCACGAGGATTCTCAATTGCTGGAAGACACCCTGGCTCGAGTTCCGTGGAGACGGTTGTGCCTTCGGTCCCTGGTCCTCAAAGGTGAGCGCCCCTGCTCCTGACCCTGTCCATATCTCTAGTTTGCTCTGGCTCTGCTTCTTGATCCACAAAGGCCATTTTTGTTCTAGCCCTAGCTCTAGGCTTCTCCCTGCATCCTAGGTGTGAGTCCCTGCCTCGTCCCTGTCTTCAGCCCCATCCCAAAGTGAGGCTGACTGGACTCTGGCTCCTGAGCTCAGGACCCTGAAGCTGCCCAATGGGGTCTCTCTGCAGATCCCAGTTGTTCCTGGATAGGTCATGGGCGATGCTGTCAACTGATACAAGCTGGTAGTCCTCTCTCTCTGACTGGGCTGAAAGAGGCTTGTACCTCCTCAGTGTTTTCTCCAGCAGGCAGGGCTGAAGTGAGACTCCAGCTCTGAGGGCTACAACTGTCCCACTCACTTCCAGGGGGACATATCCGGGGTGCCCTGGGTGCTTGCCTCCATGGTACTCTGACTACACTGCCTGCTGGCCTAAGTGGCTTGGCCTCCCTGACCCACCTGGACCTAAGCTTCAACAGACTGGAGACACTGCCAGATTGCATCCTGGAATTGCACAGCCTAGATGCACTACTGCTCTCTCACAACTGCCTGTCAGAGCTGCCTGAGGCCCTGGGGGCCCTGTCCACCCTCACCTTCCTCACTGTGACACACAACTACCTGGAAAGGCTGCCTACAACACTGGGGTCCCTGTCCACCCTGCAGCGTCTTGATCTCTCTGAGAATCTTCTAGACACCATACCCCCTGAGATTGGAGACCTGAACAGCCTCAGTGAGCTCAATCTGGCCTCCAATAGACTGCGAAACCTCCCAGCCTCCCTTGGTGAGTAATCACCGTGCCGGCTTTGGTTCACCATCGCAGGCAGAGTGCCCCTTGGCCACTTCCCAGGTCTCCTCTCCCACCTGGGCCCCCACAGCTCCTCTGCAGTCTTAGGGCTCTGGCCCTTTCCTCTTCCACAGAGGCCCCTGTATCCCAGGCTTGACCCATGCACTTCACTAGTCTGTGGTGGCCCTCTGACTGTCCTCCTTGACTACCTGGGGTTCACATGCATCTTTGTATTATCATACATATAGCTTGAAGCCCATAATGTGGGTGCCCTGACATGGTGCCCAGGGCCACCATGAATGGTCCTCTGCCAACTCTAAGCCAGCACTTGCCTACAGCGGGGCTGCGGTCCCTGCAGCTCCTTATCCTGCATAGCAACCTCCTGACCTCAGTGCCCACTGGCCTGGCCCACCTGCCACTAATCAGTCGGCTCGATCTGAGGGACAACCAACTCCGGGACCTTCCTGCTGAGCTACTAGACGCTCCCTTTGTGCGCCTCCAGGGCAACCCCCTGGGTGAGGCCTCTCCAGCATCCCTGAGTCCCCCAGGTAGGCTTGGCACGGGACAGGGCCAGGCCATGAGAGGATGAAGGCACACCACCATTCTGAACACTTCTTGTCCTTGTGCAGGCACACCCCAGGTTCCAGAGATGCCCAGGCTATTCCTGACCTCAGATTTGGACAGGTATGGGGTAGGATGGAATAGAGGAGATCTATCTGCCCTGACACCCTGACCACACCGGGGCAACCTGTTCCAACATACAGGTCTATCTTTGTTGGCCCTCATACTTCTTTTCTCACTCAGTTTCCTCGTGACTCCCCATGGCTGTTCTGTGACCCTGGCCTGTGGCGTCCGCCTACAGTTCCCAGCAGGGGCCACCACCACACCTGTCACCATCCACTATCGACTGTGGCTGCCAGAACCAGGCCTGGTCTCACTGGGTCCTCACGATTTCCTGCTTAGCCGTGTCCTGGAGCTGCAGCCCCATGGGGTGGCTTTCCAGCAGGCACGACCAGGTTGGGTAGAGGGCAGGTTCGGAAGCCGAGGTTTGGCTCCAGCTCTTACATCACCATTGCCTGACAGGATGTGAGCTTGTGGCTGCTCTTTGTCCCTCCACGGGCTCGTCGCTGCCGTGAGGTAGTTGTTAGGACCCGGAGTGAAAACCAGTGGAGTGACCTAGAGACTCACCTGGAGGCAGAAGCACCCAAGGTGAGACCTGTCCAGGCCCTTGGGAAGTAAGGGGACAGGGAACAACCTGCCCAGACCCCACCCATCCCTGCCCACTTGGTCTTTGCCCTGACTCTGTACCCCCTAACTTCATCCTCCGCTGCATCTCAGCGGCTCTGGGCTCGCTGCCAGGTACCCCATTTTTCCTGGTTCCTTGTGGTTTTACGCCCAGTGTCCAATGCCTGCCTGGTGCCACCAGAAGGGGCATTGCTGTGCTCCTCAGGTCATCCTGGGGTCAAGGTCACCTTTCCCCCCGGAGCCACGGAGGAGCCTCGGCAAGTCTCCATGCAGGTATAGTTAAGGCAGTCCCAAGGGTGGTAGGAGTCACCCCAGCATACAGGTAGACACTCGGCGGCTTTCTGCCTAGGTCATGCACATGGCTGGACGAGAGCTGCGAGCCCTCTTGGGAGAACCAGAGGCATCTGTGAGCCCTCTGCTGTGCCTCTCACAGAGCAGCCCCCACAACTTCCTACAGCCAGTCACCGTGCAGCTGCCATTGCCTCCTGGTATTACAGGTGAGGCTGTCATACTACAGGACCAGGGATGGATGCTTAGCATGGGAAGCTGCAGCCTGGGGGGCCCTCAGCCTGCTGCTGTGTCTTGCCTAGGCTTCAGTCTGGACCGCTCCTGTTTGCACCTGCTGTACCGAGATCCTCCTACAGCCACCTGGGATGATATCACCACTCAAGTGGTGTTAGAGCTCACCCACCTGTATGCACGCTTCCAGGTGACACACTTCTCCTGGTAAGTGTCCCCTAGCTCCCTCAGCTCCCCATACCCCTACTGTCCATTTGGATGGTTGCTCCTCAACCTGGGCCCTTCCAGGTACTGGCTCTGGTATACTACCAAGAACTGTGTAGGGGGCCTGGCACGGAAAGCCTGGGAGCGGCTGCGGCTACACCGTGTAAACCTCATTGCACTACAGAGGCGCCGGGACCCCGAGCAGGTCCTGTTGCAGTGCCTGCCCCGGAACAAGGTGGGAGCAACAGGAAGACAGCAGTGACCTTAAGGCCAGGGTGGGGTCAGGGCTTTGGGCTCCAAGCCCTGTGGATGCCCCTGCAGGTAGATGCCACCTTGCGGCGGCTGCTGGAGCGATACCGTGGCCCTGAGCCCTCTGACACTGTGGAGATGTTTGAGGGTGAGAAGTTCTTTGCAGCCTTCGAGCGAGGCATTGACGTGGATGCTGGTAGGTCTCCCTCCTAGGGGGAGGGGGGACCTGGGGCCTGACATTTTGGACCCCCCCCCACTGAGCATGCCCCACCCCTCTGCAGACCGTCCAGACTGTGTGGACGGCAGGATCTGCTTTGTCTTCTATTCCCACTTGAAGAATGTGAAGGAGGTGTACATCACCACAACCCTGGACAGGGAAGCTCAGGCTGTGCGAGGCCAGGTGAGCTGATGGAGCAGGGCCACATTCCTGCACCCACCCCTGCCCTGTGCCCAGGCGAACTAAGGTCAGAGCTCTGAACCCCACCTGATCTGTTCTCAGGTGTCCTTCTATCGGGGCTCAGTGCCCATGGAGGTGCCTCAAGAGGCTGAGGCTGCCCGGCAGAAGACGGGCACGGATGCCCTGTGGATGGCCACTTTGCCCATCAAGCTGCCGGTGAGGCTGGAGGGCAGTGAGCTGACAGAGGGGACAGAGTCCTAGGGTGACCAGGGTCTAGTGGGTGGGGTCAGGCTCACCATATTCTCTCTTTCCAACAGAGACTCCAAGGGCCCAAGGGGCGTAGGCAAGGGGCTGATTTCTCTCTGCTGCCTCTGAACCTGGGTGACGCCGAGACAGGTTTCCTGACTCAGAGCAACCTACTGAGTGTGGCTTCACGCCTAGGTCCTGACTGGCCTGCTGTGGCCCTGCACCTGGGCATGTCCTATCGTGAGCTACAGCGTATCAGGCATGAATTCCGGTGAGCCTCCTGACTTCCAGTTTCAGCCACAGGGCTAACCCTAGCTCCCCTTCACTAGCTAGAAGTTTCTTTCAAGGTGGGGAGGGGGACCAAACACCAGGGGGAAAAGGAGGGTCTGACCACCACTAGCCCAAGGAGGAGGGTAGTCCCTTTTGAGGGAGAGCGAGTCTCTGAGTGCAGTGAGGGGGCTTGGGCAGGACGTCTCTGTCACCACCCTTTTTCCCTCCAAGGGACGACCTGGATGGGCAGATCCGCCACATGCTCTTCTCCTGGGCTGAGCGCCAGGCTGGACAGCCTGGAGCTGTGGGAGTCCTGGTGAAGGCCTTGGAGCAGAGTGACCGGCAGGATGTGGCTGAAGAGGTGCGTGCCATTTTGGAACTTGGCTGTCACAAGTACCAGGACAGCATCCGGCGCACAGGCCTGGCTCCTGAGAACCCCTCACTGCCTGGCACTTCAGCTTCACAGACCCCAGAGCCTACCCAGACTTAGGTCCACAGATTTGAGCTGGTCTCTGATATCCCCTGTCCAATGAGCAGAGCCTGTACCCTTCTACCTCTCCTGTGTGGGGACAGTATCCCCGTGTACAAAAAATCTGCACTGTTCTGAGAGATTGGTCTATTATTTTATTTTTGAAACAGGATCTTGCTATGTAACCCAGGCTAGCCTCTAGCTTCCCGTGGTCCTCAGAGATTGGTATAGTTGTAAGATGGAGGGAAAAAGGTAGCTAAATGATCTGAGGCTTAGTCCCTATGTGACCACATTTAACCCCTACCATGCTAGGACCCTCCTGTTTAAACTTTTTACTACACTTTGATTTGATTTTTGTGCTGTGTGTGTGGATGCCAAAGGATAACTTTTAGAAGGTGGTTCTCTCCTTCCACCATGTGGGTCTGGGTCACCATGCTTGGTGGCAAGCACCTTTACCCACTGAACCATTTCCCCTGCCATAGGCTCTCCTGTTGATCTTCCTGAGAGATAGGGAGCAGCCGCGCTGTAGTAACCAGGGATGGGTACCGAGCTACCTATGTGACAAGGTGGTGCATCTGCACCCACCAGCACCTTGTGGGCTGTTTCTAAGAAGCGTCTACCATCTAGCTCAGGGACCTGCTAGTTCCCTAGGCTACCCCATCCCTACGCTCCCTGCCACCTGGTCAAACAAGTTCTGATTTCTGTAAGGGCCTGAGGTGGGATGACCAAGAGGGGCCTTAGGGACGCCTGTGTTGGGGGGCGGACGTCCCAAGGGGAGGGCATGCTGTGGTTGGTTGCAGTGGCCACTCCAACCGGGAGAGGGAGCCGGAGGCCGTGCGAGGGGCCGGGGGCGGAGCGGGCGCGCCTCCGAGCGGACGCGCCTCCCCGCCTAGGTGCAAGCCGAGCGCGCGGCGCAGCGGGGAGGCGAGCGCGGCGGCGGCGGAGCGCGGTGAGTGGCCGCTGGGTAGTTCCTGGGGCGCCCACCCGAATCCGGCCGGGCTGCGGGTCAGAGGGTGCCATGGTGTCCGGGGGAGGTGACAACTGTCTGGATAAGGCGACTCCGGCGGAGCCTAGACTTGCGGATGCTTTGACCCGCTGTCTCCCGGGTGTGGGAGGCCGTGCTCGGGCCCGGCGATGCCGAGCGCGCTCCCCGCGCACACGTGTCCCAGTGGGTGGAAGCCCCGGAGCTGAGGCAGGGTTTAGAGGGCACGCATCCATGAGACCCCAGTGGGCCTGAGTGGGCACATACATGGCCACAGTGTCTGTCGCCTTGCTGGGGATGGCGAGCCCCCAAAGTAGGGTCTGATCTGGCCTGGAGCCGAGCCTGTGGCTCCCTCCCTGTTTCTGTTGTGAGCCAGCTGGGGTACCTCGCAATTTGAGACCTCTTCTGGATCCTTCTAGCTAGCAGGGCAGAGCTAACCTCCCCGAGAGGAAAGGGTCGAGAGAGTGAATGGAAGTGGGGAGCTGGGCTCTGCCCGGTCGCTTTTCTTTTAGGTGGGAGCTGGGCAGCTTCGTTCCGGCAGAAGCGGAGAAGCTACAGGGTTGTGTGGGTGGGCTCTGTATGTCCACCGATTTCTCAGTCTGCCTGTGGCCTCAGTTTTCCTGTCTGAGAAAGGCTGAGGTCAGGGAGGCTGAAAACCCTGGGTCCTCAGCAACATGGCTGAAGGGCCAGGTTTCTATGGAAACATTCCAGGGTGCTGAGGAAGCCCTTGACAGCTGCCTCAAACTGATGGGAATTCAAAAAACAAAAACAAAAATGCCCAGCTGGGCAGGGGGATAAAACAGCCCGGAGGGTCCCCTTGTCAGTTGTTCTGGCCAGCAGAACCCCTCACTGTCAGCCCAGGAACTGCCCTCCCTGGTGATCCGCCCGTTTTGCCTAGCTCAGGGTGCAGGACGGACTCAGGCTTGGAATCTCAGTGCCTACTTCTGCTCGTCCCTCCCGGCTTCAGATGGTCTGACTTCCAGGCCTTTTCCCGTCCACCACTCAAGGTGCCCTGATCTCAGATGTGAAAGGGGTAGAGTCCAAGGGAGAAGGAAGTGCTTATACAGTGGGCTCACTATTACCAAGGGCAGGAAGCCCTGGAAAGATGAAGTCCCTAGGGGAGGAGGCCACAGGTAGAGCTAACTGGGATGGGAAAGGAGGAACCAGATTACAGTTCAGAGGTCACACCCTTCACCCCACACCAGGGCTGGGAGGGACAAGTACTCCACTGAGGCCCCTGGCAGAGGGCAGAGGACACCTAGAATACCACCCCGTGCCCTCTGGACCTGCCAGGTGAGCAAGGCCCATGATTGGCAGTGGCCTTTGAGACTCAACACTCCTTCCTTGCCTTCTCCAGAGGACAGGTATGTGTGCCTTCTTGTGCCCCAGCATAAGGTTCTCTGATAGGTACCAGGTCCCACGGCACAGTGGGTGCTGACCCATCTCTGCAAGGGCACACAGGGCGCCCCAGTCAGATCTGTGCTCATCCCATAGGCTGCAGACAGGAACCTACTGAGTGGCCCGAGATCATGGTAGTCCAGGACCGGGGTCCCTGTGGTGGGCAGCGTGGCCCCTGCAGGGTTCGTCTGCCTCTCCCCTGGCTCCCAGGCTGGACCCTGCCCCTCACCCCCAGAAGCTGTCTCATTCCTTCTCTTCCGTCTCCTGAAACTGCAGGGATTACCGTCTAGCCCAAAGTGAAAGAGAAAGTCCCCCCCCCACAGGCCCACTCCGCCCCGCCCCACGGCCAATCCCTGTGGCCCTTTGCCTCCTCCCCTGGCCAGCCTCTTTATCACCTCGGTGAGCTGGCTTGCTGGAGCAGTGGAGGAGCGTGTGCACTCGGGGGTCCCTTAAGGGTGAGCAGGGACCCAGCGGGTTTCGGGGAGTGGTGGGTAGCAGGTCCAGAGGAGGTGATGATGGATAGTCCAGTGGGATGAAGGTCACAAGTCCTCTGAGGGCTTTCTAGTGTGAGACAGCCATGTGATTCCGGATGGCAACACCGTGGGGTGCTGCTAACCTGTGACAAATGACCCCTGAGGGGGCCAAGGAGGAGATGCAAGGGAGAACCCAGAAGCCCTCACTGCTCAGTTTCTATGACTGTATCCTCCAGGAGCATCCCCTGAGGCTGGCTCTTGGCTCCCCAGCCCCTTCCCCCAGCCCTAGGAAGTAGGGTATACCAGCCACAGGAGCCTCAGGTGATAGGCACCCCTCTTCTGCCCATTTCATGCCATTTACTTCTTCCCCTATCCCAATCCTGATCCCTGGACTCCTGGGTTAGTCTCAGAGTGAAAGTCCTCCCTGGAGAGGTGGAAAGGAGGGTGGGCAACTGGCTGGGTGTGGGTGGGAATCCTGCTTTTCCATGGGAGGGAGTGCCATGGCCCAGAGTGGGCTGTGGTAGGAGTGAGACGGCTCAGGCCAGTTGGAGAGCACCAGGGAGAGGAGCCTACCTCTATCCTCCAGACCCCAGAAAGTAGCTGCCTCTGCTCTAAGTGAGAGTAGGTCATTATAGTTCAGTCTAGGGTCCAAGTATCACTGCCCTAAAGAGCGCCTGGCCCTTTAAAAGCTGGAGCTTGCCATGTGTGCACGTGAGCATGTGCGTGTGTGAGGTGTGGTGTGTGAGGTGTGAGTGGAAGGCTGGGAGGACGCCATGGGGAAGCCAGGTGGCCCCAGGGATGGGTATCCTCCTCTTCCTCCTCCACTCCCCCAGTGCATCCCTAGGGCACCTTGATGGCTCTAGCTTGGGGCAAGGGACCTAGAGCGTGAGGGGCTCCTTGTCCCATGTGAGATGGAGTGGCTTCTTCCCTGATGGGCCCCACCCTCTGCTCATTTCTGTCCCTTCTTTCTTCCAGGTGGCAGAAGCTCTGAAATTTCTCTGAAGGTGAGGACGTCCCCTCCCCACACTGTCAGCAAGCACTGCCAGCCACTAACACTGTCTGCGTGCGTCACCTTTCCCATCAGTGCCTCCACTTCCACCCAGGGGCCTGGGTCAGCCACCTGCTCTGCCTGGTGTTCTCCGAGTTAAATGGCTGATAAACAGATCAGGTCAGAGGGATCCCAATCTGCGCTTTAGTCTTGGCTTTCATCCCCACCCCCCCACCCCAGCCTGACCTTACCCACATCCCCTGGTCCCACAGTTGAAGTAGTAAGTCCTAACATTTGTCCCTGCATACACAGCCTGCCCGCCAAGCTCATCAATGGCGGCATTGCTGGACTGATTGGGGTCACCTGTGTGTTCCCCATCGACCTGGCTAAGACGCGGCTGCAGAATCAGCAGAATGGCCAGCGCATGTATGCCAGCATGTGAGTGAGAGCTGCATGGGAGGGGTGGGGGTGCTGCTTCCATTTTTGGCTCTGCTGGGTTTGGTAAAGGGGAACCTGGCAGCAAAGCAGGTTTGAGGGAGCTTGTCCAGGGCAGAGCAGTTGGCCTCTCTGCCCTGGATGCTCAGATAGGACAGACACTGCCTCTGCCTGACTCAGGGCTGGGGTTCAGCTGGCCACCACTTATCACCTTCCTCTTGACTACAGGTCTGACTGCCTCATCAAGACCATCCGCTCTGAGGGCTACTTTGGCATGTACCGGGGTGAGGCTCAGAATGGGTGACAGGCGGGTCTGGCTGGGAACAGAGCAGGGCTATATACTTGGGACTGGTCTGTAAGTATGGACATGTTTTAGGGTGCTGGTGGCACCTGAGCAGAAATGGGGGCATCAGCCAGCCCTGGGAGCTGGAGGAGTTGGATGTCTGAGGGAGCAGTCTCTGCTGAGTAGTAGGTGTCAATCCTCACTGGTATACCCTCCCATCCCCTAGTGGTGTGGCTGGACAGGATTTGGCTCTTCTTCTCTATCCTAGCAGCCGAAATTTCTGCCCCTGCTCTATGTGACAGGCAGGACCACATCTGTTTGGAAGCTAGTGCAGGGGGCATTATGCAAAGCAGCTTAGAAAACAATCCCTGAGGGTGGATTTTCCCAGATGCTGTGCACTCCTGAGCTCTCGTCTCTGACAGGCCATCCACAGCTTTCCCTGAGCCCTGAGCCACACCACATTCCTGCCAGTGGGAGCACCTTCATCCACAGGCAGGAGGCCCATGAACGAGCTCCGGTGGCTTGATCCTTACTACCTTTCATTGAGAGGCCTGTCCAGCCAAAAGCAGAGACAGATGGAGGTGGAATGCTAAGGGGGGCAGAAGAGGGGGAGGAGGCCACAGCACCGCCCCATCCTGTCTGGTTCCCACCCCCCTGGCACAAACCAAGCCCATATGTGGGTGAGAGGGCAGGAGGCTGCAGCCAAGGAGTGCCAGGCAGGGCTTTGCCAGCCAGAAGTGAAGTACTATCCCAAAGCCTCTCCAGCCCAAACTGCCCAGTAAATCTATCCCCACCTGACCTGCCTGTGTCCTCAGGCCTCACCTGACTCCCACATGCCCCACAGGAGCGGCCGTGAACCTGACCCTAGTCACCCCTGAGAAGGCCATCAAACTGGCAGCCAACGACTTCTTCCGACATCAGCTCTCAAAGGATGGGTGAGGGGCTGGCCCTCCCTGGCCACTGGGCCCCAGGGGAAGACCTGTGGCTAGCGTCCTCCCCCCAGCAGTCCCCCAGGCTGATGTCAGACCCTCAAAGGTTCTCCCACCTCAGGCCCTTTGCTCAACATCTGTGACCTTGAGAGGGCACTTCCCTGCGCCTGCGTGGTGAGGTGCAGAGCAGCTGCTGAGTCAGTGACCATTGGCCCCCAGCCAGTCTGCTGCCAGGATTTGGGGGCACCAAGCAGCTACCCCATCACTGGAATGTGGGGCTGCAAGGTTGGCCCCTTCTAATTCCCCATTCTCTGTGAATCCCCGTCTGTGAGGCCATCTGTCCTTTGGGTTAAATACCTATTACTGGAGGGCTTGGGTCCTGGGACCCCTACAAGACCACATCTGCCTCCACCACTCCCATCTCCCTTTATACCTGGGTGAGGCAAGGCAATCCCTACCCAATAGGGGTTGGTGCTCCACTTCACCCCAGTCACAGCCCCGCCCTTGCCCTGCAGGCAGAAGCTCACGCTACCTAAGGAGATGTTGGCAGGCTGCGGGGCTGGTACCTGCCAGGTGATTGTGACCACCCCCATGGAGATGTTGAAAATTCAGTTGCAAGATGCAGGCCGCATTGGTAAGGGACTGGGGGGGACACAAATAAGTTGGGGACAACAGCTAGACGCTGTCCCCTGCCCTTTCCCTAAGCAAGATGGAAGAAACCAGAGCTCCTTTCTTACCAGCTGCTCAGAGGAAGATCCTGGCTGCCCAGGCCCAGCTCTCAGCCCAGGGAGGTATCCAGCCCTCAGTAGAGGCTCCAGCTGCTTCTCGGCCCACAGCCACCCAGATCACCCGTGACCTGCTGCGGAGTCATGGCATTGCTGGACTCTACAAGGGACTGGGGGCCACGCTGCTCAGGTGTGAAGACAAGGCCTGTGGGAGGATGAGGAGGACGAGGTCTGCCTGCCTGCCCCTACCACCAGCATCACCTCTTCTGTCCCCACAGGGACGTCCCCTTCTCTATTGTGTACTTCCCCCTCTTTGCCAACCTGAACCAGCTGGGCCGCCCGGCTTCTGAGGAGAAGTCACCTTTCTATGTATCCTTCCTGGCAGGCTGTGTGGCTGGGAGTGCAGCTGCTGTAGCTGTCAACCCCTGTGATGGTCAGTGCTGGGATCTGGGCACCACTAGGGTGGGGGCAGGAGACTGGGTCCCCACACTGACTCATGCTCCCTCATAGTGGTGAAGACTCGGCTTCAGTCGCTCGAACGTGGCGTCAATGAGGACACCTACTCGGGGTTTCTGGACTGTGCCAGGTGGACCGGGTCCTATGAGCTGGGGCTGGGGCTGGGGCTGGAGCTAAGGACCTGTTCTGATCTTCCCCTCCTTCACAGGAAGATTTGGCGGCATGAGGGCCCCTCGGCATTCCTGAAAGGCGCCTACTGCCGTGCACTGGTCATCGCCCCACTGTTTGGCATTGCGCAGGTGGTCTACTTCTTGGGCATTGCTGAATCTCTGCTGGGGCTGCTGCAAGAACCTCAGGCGTGAGCCCATGGATGCCCCTCCCCAGCCTGTTGGCTGGTGCCAGAACAGGGTGACCAGCCCAAACCTGAGGAGGGAAGGTCTCTCCCTAGCCTTCTCCATCAAAAAGGAAGTCGGGGAGAATGCAAAGTCCACGTGGGTGGTACACACCTAGGCCCCCGTGGGGTCCTGAAGGGACAACAGTTGGGATCAAGGTCTTATTTATGTAGAAAATGCAGAAATCTGTACATTCCTCGAGCCAGGCCTTTCCTGTCCTACCCTCTCCCCAACCTGACCCAGTCCCACCTGGCCTGAACACCCCCTGGGACAGAGCTGGTCTCTGGGCTGGGGCCCTCAGGCTTGACTGGGCAGGCGGACTTACCCCCTAGTCTACTGGCTCCTGTCTCCAAGGCTGTCCTGGTCTACAAATGGGACCCCCACAAAATTATTTATTGAATCTGCTGTGCCCACATGGCTCTGCCTGTCCTCCGTCCATTAGTCTATCCACCCCTGCTGCTCTTCTGGCCGTCCTCCAGGACCCCACTCTACCTCCCCAGCCAGCCTTACAGGAGGATAGGGTGTCTTGTTCCCACATTGAGCTAGATTCCTAGGCTGGGGGTGAGACCATACTGAGTTCTGAATCCTAGGCACCCCGCACATACTCTTGGGACCTTCTGCTGGGCCTTTGGGCTCCCACCATATCTGAGACCCAGACTCTGGGTGAGGTCTGTGTGGTAGAGCTGGTTGGGGATGGGCTGTGGGGACACCTCTGCCCTTCTGCCCTTCTCCATGTGGCCAGGCATCCTGTGCTCCTGTGTGCTGTGTGCCTCAGGCTCTCTGCTGACCCCATCCAAGAATTCAGTTCTCCTAAGCCGGGCGTGGTGGTGCACGCCTGTAGTCCCAGCACTTGGGAGGCAGAGGCAGGTGGATCTCTGAGTTCAAAGCCAGCCTGGTCTACATAGTGAGTTCCAGGCCAGCTGTGGCTACAGGCATGAGACCCTGTTTCAAAAAGACCAAAAAAAATTTAGTTCTCCAGCCTGGTCTCTCTTCTGATACCCTTACCCCTGGACTTAGATTGCCTGTCTCGGAAGGGCAGGCATACGAGCCAGTATGAAGTCTGGGTCCACCCTGATCTATGGGCCTCTGCCCAGTTTTGGGAAGCCCCCCTCTCCCAGCCCTGGACCCTCTATCCTGAATCAAGGCAGGCCCCTTCTGCCCCGGCCATGTGATTGTGTTTAGTGATTGACTGAAGTGCTGGTGCTGTGTCCTCCAAGCTCGGCCCCTCCGTGGAGGCCCCTTCCCAGTGACACTACCTGGGGCTCAAGTCTGGGCCCCCAGTTCACGGTTGCTCCTGGGAGCCACCCCTCCCATCATGTGTGTACCCTGAGAGCTGCTGCTGCTGCTTACAGAATTATATTTTTTTCTTTTGAAGAGTTTTAAGAAGTAACTTTTTGTGTCTTGTCATGTAAGATGATAAATAAATATTCTAAATAGATGCGTGCTCTCTCGGGAGTCTGTGCATGGGTGGGGTAGGGAGGGCAGACCCCTGCCAGCCCTGATGGCTCTCAGACCCTGCAGCCCTGCATTGCCAGACCCCTCCATATGCTGTAATCACCTCCAGCCATGTCTCTGGATAGGGCGCTGATAACAGAAGTGGGCTAAGCTTTGAGACCCCCGCAGTTCCCAGGGGAGCGCACGGGCGTGGCCCTGCTGACGCAGCAGCTGCCCGCCCCGCCCCTTGCCGCTGGTCCTCGCGTCTGCGCAGGGAGCAGCAGTGCATTGTGGGAAACTCCCGTGCGCACCTTGGTGTCCTCATCCTCCGCCCGCTGTCATCCCGAGGAGCTAGTGCGCAGCAAAGAGCCGGAGGCCCAACGGAAGACGTAAGGCGGCGGGCCGCGTCAAGGGTGGGTATGGACGGGGGAGGCTAGGAGCAGCAGTCAAGCCGTAGTGCCGTGGGCTTCAAGGTCACGGGGGTTGTGGCGCGGGCACTTTGCTCTTTCAGGCTCCGTAGCTTTGGGGAGGCAGAGGAGGCATTTGGGAAAGGGGATGTAAGTGCAAGCCAGAAATAAGGGGGGAGACTTCCTGCCCTGTGCAAATGTGCTGCCCCGCACACACCTAGGCCCCCTCCAGAACTGTGGCATGGAGGAGAGGCTAGGGCTTTCTGGGATGTGAGCAGTGGCTGAGCTTCTCAGTGGTCATCCCCATCACGATGTGACTTTCAGATGACCTTCAGTGTGCTCACTGTACCTAGCAGGGGACTTCCCCTTCCTGCACATGGGCAGAACGTCCTCCCAGGGTGGCGGGAGACAGGGGCCCCTGGGTCTTCCCGGCAGGCTCTATTACCCGGCAGGGTGGCTAGGCCTGCCTTCTCTCCAGTTAGGACACTTGAGAATTGAGGTGAGGCCTTTCCGACAACTCAGGGCCCATCTTCTGCCCTGACCCCCTCCAGGCTTCTGCCAGGGACCTTCTATGCTTAGCAGAGCCTTATGCTCAGCAAGGACTTCTTGCCCTTGAACTGGAAGGTCAGACCACTGTTGGGAAGAGGACACTAGATCTAAGCTGGGTGGGGTAGGTGGCTGATCAGAAGCAGCAGTTGGTGGAATGCTGCCTGGCTTCTCTGCCTCCATTTAGCTCTTTTAGTCTTTATCGTCCTGGTAATGTGAATCCACTCTCCAACCTGATAGCCACCGGAGAACTCAGACCTTGGGCTCCAGCCCTGTCCTTCCTCCTTTTGGACTCTGGGCAAGCTGTAGCCCAAGGCCCCTTGGCACCCCTGCCTCCCACATAAAACAGCAACAAGCTCCCAAGACGACAGGAACTCGGTTCTGCTAGTGCCCACCATGGCTCGCTCCCCTCTCTCCTTGAACAGCCTCTCTTCCCATTTTCAGGATTAGATTTCCATGTCCACAGCAGGGCCTCCCTACCCTGACCTGTGTAGTGGACACAGTGTGTGGGGGAAAGACCAGGCTACAGATGAGGAAACTCAGGCCTGTCGATATTTGCGTCTGGCCCTTCCCTCTCCCAAATGCTGCTTCTGTGGCTGGAAGGGCTTCCTGAGAATGGTCAGGAGCAGACAGAGGCCAGGCCTTAGAAGAGGAGGGACTGGGAACACATGATGCTTCTGGGCTGGAGCTCCTGGGGAGTTCAGAGAACTGGGAAGGATGTCTCTCTCTGGGATGGTGTGTGGGAGCTGTCCAGAAGGGGCTTTGTGCCCTGCCACTGCCTCACTTGCGTCTTTCTCCAGACCCATATAATGCCCAGGGGTGAGCTGTCCTGAGACACTGTGGTCCAGCCACCTGCCTGTCCCACACACCCCAACCCAGCTGCCAGCACAACCCATCATGGAGTCCCGGGGAAAGTCGGCCAGCAGCCCCAAACCAGACACCAAGGTGCCTCAGGCCACAGCTGAGGCCAAGGCCACCCCAGCTGCTGACGGAAAAGCCCCCTTGACCAAACCTGTGAAGAAGGACACCCAAGCTGAGAAGCAGGAGCAACCGGCAGCCCCCGGGCCAGCCCCTGCGAAGAAGACACCAGCCAAGGCAGACCCTGCACTTCTCAACAACCATAGCAACCTGAAGCCAGCACCTGCAGCCCCCAGCAATCCTGATGCAACGCCAGAGCCCAAGGGTCCTGGCGATGGGGCAGAGGAGGACGAGTCCAACGCTGGAGGCCCAGGGGGCCGAGGTCCCTGGCCTTGTGAGAACTTGACCCATTTGCTGGTGGCTGGGGGTGTGGCTGTAGCTGCCATGGCCCTTATTCTTGGTGTGGCCTTCCTAGCACGGAAAAAATGATGCCTGATGTCCCCGTGGGGGCACAGAGCCACTTCCTGTACAGACCTGACTCTATAGTGCATGCGAAGTCATAGATATTTATCTATACATATACACATCACACACACACATATGTATGCCACATACGACCATGCAGCAGAAGACAGACAGTGAACCCACCTCTGCTGACCCCAGCACTCCCCCTCCCAAGCTCTGGGGCAGGAGCCCAGCTCTGCGGTTTGCATGGCTGGGCAGGTGAACACTAGCATAGGGCAGAGGGTTCAGCCTGTACTAGGCAACTATGAGCAACAAGGGAGGAACAGACCCTGGGTACGGCCTCTGAAAGACAGGTGGTGGGTGGGCTGGCCCTGTGGGGATGTTAAAGGGCGTGACTGTTTTCACTCCCCCCACTTCTATTTTGTTCAGTTCTGGGAGGGGGGTTCTGTCTGGGCCTGGTGTCCAGGTGGGGGCACAGGACTGATCTGAGAAGTCACATCTGCAGAGACACACACCCACTGTCCCTGCCTCGGCTGGGTGGAAAGGCACAGCTTAACAGTTGGATTTGGGAGGGTCCCCCTTCGGTTTCCCTTTTTCAACATGTGTCCCAGGAGAGCCCCTGAGGCTGGGACCACCTCACTTCCTGCCTAGAGCAGCAGTTGTTGTGGGGGTGGCTGAGAGGCTGGCAGGGAGGCAGAAAACAAGGACCCACACCACAGTTGTGCCTGCCCAGTACCCTCCAATAGACAGCCCTTCCTGCCTGCACCCAGCACCCTCTGAGTCTAACAGCGTATAAATGCAATAACACAGGTAGAGTAGACTGCCCAGTGGGAGACAATCACCCATCCCCCACTGCCTGCAGGAAGACCCGCTGCGCGGTTCCTCAGCTCATCTGGTCCCAGCTTGCCCCTTGGTGTGGTGACAGTGGGCAGGCTTCTAGAAGGTTGCAGTGGACTCTAAGGGAATGTTGCCCTCACCTGGCCAGTGGCTGCAGGGACTCTGGGCCTGAGTGGAGACTGAATCTGAAATAAACTCTGTTACCTAAAGGCTGAGCTGGTGTCCTCACCTGCATGGGGCTGGGAGGGGCAGAGACTTTCTACTTGGGTGTGTGGGGGCTACAGATCTACCACCTAGGTTTTCCAGGGCTTGGGTGGGAAATCCTAGGTCCTCTCCATGCCCTGATGCTTGTGGGTTATGTGTACCCAGAACCCCTGGCCAGACCCTTCCCTATTCTAGGTGCTCCCTCCCTGGCCTTTGTGGGAGCCTGAACTCAAATGGCCACTAGGGGCTTCAGGATAAGCCCCTAGGCCTATGCTGACCAGCGGCTTTGTTCCTTAGGTTAGCAGGAAGGGTCCCTTTATCCATGAAAGGCAGAAGAGGCTAAGGGAGGGATCCCTCTCTGGTCACTCTCTTCCACAGCTCCCTGAGCCCATTCTGACCTATTGCCTGGCACACAAGGGCTGCCCATTGACCCAGCTGTGGGTGAGGCTGTCAGGGAATGGGCTGCAGGGAGCAAAACTCACTTTAGTATCTTGTCATTTTGGGCCCTTCCTCCCCACCTCAAAGGCTGCTGAGGCTAGCAGGCAAGAGCTTGTTGACCACCTCCTCCCAGTGACCTTTGAACTGATATGAGGGGCACCCAGTTTTTTCTCCAGAGACCTTTGAACTGGTATGAGGGGCACCCAGTCTTTTCTTTCTGGCCTTCTGATACCCACCTTTCACCTACACACCACATCCTATGCAACTCTGAATAACTCCTAAAGGGTGAAGACATCCCAAATGGACCCCTTACCCTTGCCCAGACCACTCTTCCTGGTCTCTGTTTGATCACTACCTGCACAAAGTGCCTCCATGTCCAGGCTGGCACCTGCCTAGATCAGGGTTTCCTGAAGTCGGAGTGTTGTGGATATGGCAGGCACATGGCCACCTGCAACTCAGCTGCCCTGCAGGTGTTAGGGCTGCACTGTCTGGTGGATAGTCACTGCCTCCTCCAAGCCTTTCATCTTTTCCATCTTGTGGCTTGCATCTTAAAACACAAGTACTTTTAGGCACTAAGGCCTAGTCCTCTCATGCTTCTGGGTATAGTGGCACAGGCCTTTAAGCTCAGCACTGGGAGGCAGAGGCAGGCGGATCTCTGTGAGATCCAGGCCAGCTTGGTCTACATAGTGAGTTCCAGGCCTGACAGTGCTATAAGGAGATCCTGTCAAATAAGTAAGTAAATAAATAAATAAATAAATAAACAAATAAATAAATAAATAAAAATAAATACTGGCAGGCCAGCACTTAAGAGACAGAAGCAGGTGGATCTCTGGGAGTTTGAGGCCAGCTTGGTCTCCATAGTGACTTCCAGAACAGCCAGGGCTACATAGTAAGACTTTGTCTCTAAAAAAACCAAAAACTGACATCAAGGCAGAAATGAAAATCCCAGTCAAACCTTGCTCTAGCTTAGATCTGGAATGGTCTCCAGGCATTGTGGCAGGCTTGGTGGACGGGCCTTGTACAACTGGGAAGCCTAGAACACTGAGGGTGGAGCCTAGTGGGAGGGGTGGTTTACTTGTTGTTTGCCTATGTTTTGTATATAGGATCTGAATATGTAACCCAGGATGACCTTGAACTTGCACACCTGCCTCAGCTTCCTGACTACTGGGATTACAGGCCTGCAACCACCATGCTTGGCTAAAATGTATGTAACAGCTCTGTGTATGTGGGTGTATGTGTTTGCACCTGTGCAGATACATGTGGCGACCAGAGGTCAACTTGGGTGTCTATCCTCAGGCACCGTCCATCTACTCTCTCTCTCTTTTTAAAAAAATATTTTATTATTTTTATTTTATGTGTATGAGTGTTATACCTGCATGTAGGTAAGTGCACCTGTGTTGTGCAATGCCCGCGGAGGACAGATCCCCTGGAATTGGAGTTACGGACAGTTGTTAGCTGCCATGTGGATGCTGGGATTCAAACCCGGGTCTTCTGCAAGAACAGTCAGTGTTCTTAACCACTGAGCCATCTCTCCAGCCCCCCTTCTTTTTAAAGATTTACTTTATATGCATGAATGTTTGGCTTTCATGAATATGTGCACCACATATGTGCCTGGTGCCCACAGAAGATAGAGGAGGATGTCAGATCCCCTGAAACTGAAGTTACACAGGTCTGTGAGCCACCACCACATGGGTAATGGGATCCAAACCTGGGTCCTCTACAAGAGCAGCAAGTGCTGTTAATCAGAGAGTCATATCTCCAGCCCCCACCTTGTTTTTTGAGACAGGGTCTCTCACTGGCATGGGACTAAGTAGGCTAGGCTACCTGGTCAGCAAACCTCAGGGACCCATCTGCCTGTTTTTCTCCAGTGCTGGATTATTGGCACCACTATGCCTGGCTTTGCCTGGCTTTTTTATGTGGTTTCTGGGAATTTAATCGAGGTCCTCTGATGAGCTATACCCCAGCACTCCCCCACACACACCTATTTCATTATGTATTTTGCATCCTAAGCCTTCCTTGCCTTGGCACATTGCAAATGCCTTCTCAGGTAGTGTTAGCTGACTCTCCACTGTTTCTGCAGCAAATGTCACACTGTCCCCTTTCCTTCGGGAATTTTGGTTAGGAGACCTTGCCATGTTATCTAGTTACTCCAACAGTCTCAGCATCCACTCACACTGAATCCACGGGGCACTCAGGCTGTGTGTATCATCCAGGGCTCCCAAGGTATTTATGTCTCATCAGAACTCTGCTGGCCTCAGCCTTAGGGAGCAGTCAGGCCCTGTCACCCATTTGTGACATCATTTCCTCTCCCTTTCACTTAGCACAGCCTCTGTGAGCCTGCACCTGCCACCAGTATATGCCCTTGTGATACTACTTTTTTCTTTTTTGCAGGGTCTCACTATGTTGCCCTGGCTGACCTGGAACTCGCTATGTAGGTCAGGCTGGCCTGGAACTCACAGAGATCTGCCTGCCTCTCCCCCCAAGTGCTGGGATCAAAGACACACAGCACTTGCCTGGCTTGTGAAGTCACTGTAAAAGTCCTTTCTTCACTTTTCCAATTTCCTATCTGTGCTCATTTTAGGAAAACATTAGAACCAGGGAGCAAGCCAGGCATGGTGACACATAGCTACAATTCCAACCCTTAGGAGGTTGAGGTGGGGGGATGGAGAGTCCCAGGCCAGCCTGGGCTACATAATAAGACCATCTCAAAAATAAAATAAAATAAAATAACACAAAAAGCTGTTCCTCCTGGTGGCACAGGCCTGTAATTCCAGATACTTGGAAGGCTGAGTGAGGAGAATCATAAATTTAAGACCAATCTGAACTTCAGAGAGAAAACTTAGTGAGACCCTGTGAAAATTAGGGCTTGAGATGTAGACCAGTGGCAGAGATCTTGCCTAGCTATGAGCAGGGCTGAAGGTCCATGAAAAACATCCAACTAGTAGCAGAGGCTGCAGTGGGGGAGGGTAGGATCCGATGTATGGTTTCTGCTTCACAGGACCTTCCACTCGAGTCCAGTAAGAAGCCCAGACCACATCATGAGCCTGAGGGCAGGTGCCAGCTCTTCATCCTGCCTTTAGTATCTGCATGAGTTACTTCTCTCATTGCTGTGACAAAAGCAGTGTAAGGGGTGAAGGTTTATTCTGGTTCAGTTTGAGGGTGCAGTTCATCATGACAGGGAAGACATGGTGGTAGAATGGTGAGACAGCTGGTCACAGCTGGTCACAGCTGGCCACAGTCAGTAAACAGTGATCAATGCTGGTGCTCAGCTCACCTTCTTTTTTCTTTCTGAGACAGGGTCTCCCTGTAGCCCCAGCTGGCCTGGAACTCTATGTAGCCCAGGCTGGCCTTGAATTTACAGGGATCCACCTGCCTCTGCCTCCCAAGTGCTGGGATTAAAGGTATGCGCCACCATGCCCAGCTTTTAAAAAAATTTATTATTTTTTATTTTATGCGTATGCGTCTATTGCCTGCATGTAGGTAAGTGCACCTGTGTTGTGCAATGCCCGCGGAGGACAGAAGAGGCTGTCAGATCCCCCAGGACTGGAGTTATGGACAGTTGTTAGCTGCCATGTGGGTGCTGGGAATCGAACCCAGGTCTTGTGCAAGAACCATCAGTGTTCTTAACCACTGAGACATCTCTCCAGCCCCCATTTTTGTAATGTTTATATTTATTTATGTTTAGTGTGTGTGAGAGTATATGTGCCTGTGGAGGTCATAGAACAACATGTTGAAGCTCATTCTCTCTGTCCAACATGTGGATCCTGGAGATGGAACTTAGGTTGTCAGGTTTGGTGGCAAGTGCCTTTACCCACTGAGTCATTTTTCCAGCCCAGCAAAAGCAGATTCCCAGTACTTGTTTCACAGCTCTGCCCCCACCAGGCTTTATGAGCCCTGAGAGCCCTGGCCATCAGCTTTTGCCTGTTCTGAGCATCTGAGCCAGCATCCATCCATGTCATGAGCTAACGACACACATGGCTTCCTGCAGGTCATATATGGAGTATTTCCTGCTCTCCTCTCTAGCAACCCTCATCCTGTCAAGCATACGAGCTCCTATTTGGGGACCTACACCGCAGAACACCTTCTCAGTCTGACTACGATCACCTCTCAGCCCTCCCTGAGATGTGGACTGGGGGAGGCAAGACAGGTGGAAAGGCAAATTTGCTTAGCCCTCTGAACTTAAGATCCCAGAAAAAGGCCACATCTATGTTAAAACTTCTACAAGGAGCTGGGCATAGTGACACACACATTTAATCCCAGCACTTGGGAGGCAGAGGCAGGTAGATCTCTGTGAGATCAAGGCCAGTCTAGTTTACATAGTGAGTTCCAGGCCAGCTGTGGCTATAGGGAGACCTGGTCTCAAAAGTAAGCAAACAAACAATAGCAACCCCGCCCCCCCAAAAAAACAACCAACAAAATCAACAAAAAACAAAAGCAAAACTCTTAAGGCTGACTGGATGACTAGGACCTCACTGTGATTGTGGTCAGAGTGTTGCAGATTCAGAGCCAGATCATGTCAGCTCATCTTTAGTCCCCTCTGTAGTTACTCATTGCCCATCTCTGTGTCTGATCT